AGTCTAAATAGTCTCTAAACCTTTCCTAATATATATAATTACTTAAAGAATAATATTTAAGTTATAATATTCTTAAGTATTAATAAGGTAGAATACTTTATAAAAAAAGTAATTTATAAAGAATAGCTTTCCCTTCTTTTTATTAATATAAAGTTCTTATACTAAAACTATATTAATATACCTCTTAATATAGCTCTATAGTAATATATAATTTATAAAGTTTCTATACTTAATATTATATTATATAATATATAAGCTTCTAGTATAATATCCTTAAGTTTACCTAAAGTAAAATATTATCCTTAAAAAGGGGGATTTACTATATATTATTATAATAACTTAGTTCTTTAGAATATAAAATAGTACTTTAAATAAAACTATAAAGGGGGTAAAAAGTAAAAGCTTATAGTATTATAAACTTCTTAAACTTAAAGAGGTTAAGCTATAATAAACTACTATTTTTTAAACTTTCCCTAAAAGTTTCTCACTTTATATCCTTTTAGTAAATTATAATATAAATAGTACTACTAAATTTAATAATATAAGCTTATTTCTAATAAGAGTAAAGAGTAAGAGGTATATTTAGTATCTTAGTTTTAATATCTTTAAACTTAAAGTCTTCTAAAGAGGAGTTTAAAATAAAAAAGTTATCCTCTATAATAATTTAAATAATATTAACTATTTTATAATCTAATAATATTATACTATTAGTAATAATTATTAATTAGGCTATTTTAAATTAAGCTAAAGAAGTAAGAGTACCTAAAAGTAAGTTATAAAAAGAGCTATTAAGCTTAAGTATAAATAATATACTATAAGTAGCTTACTAAATTTTCTATAATTAATACTTTAAAGGTATAGCTTAGATACTATCTTTTAAAATAAAGTAGGTAATATAATTACTATAGTTTATAGAGAAAGTTTTATAATAGTTTAGGTACTTAAGGTTATTAAGGTAAGTTAAAGTAATATTAATATTAATATAGTTAGTTTAGCTATATTAGCTATAATAGTAAGTTTTAATATAGAAGTAGCTAATATAATACCTTTAGTACTTATTAGAATAAAGTATAAGTACCTATTTCTTCTCTAGTAGAAAGTAAGTATAAATAGATTTATAAAAAAAGTACTATTTAGTACCTTTATAAAGTTAGGGTAAGATAATAATCTAAGATTAAGTTTAAGTAATAAGGTTTATACCCTTCTATATAAAGTAAGCTTAAACTAAGTATAACTTTATATATTTATAAATATTAGTCTTAACTATTTCTTTAGTAACTATAATAATAAAGTTATCTAAATAGCTAAGGATTTCTATAAGTACTTAATTAATAAAGTATTTATACTATTTCTAAGGGAAATTAAGTAATTATATACCTATAGCTTTATAAATCTTCTCTACTTACTTAAGAAAGATTTTCTTTATAGAAACTAAATATAAAATAATAATATAGCTTAAAGTAATATATAAAATATAAGTAATATCTATTAAGGAGAGGTTTAAAGCTTTAGTAATTCTACTCTAGAAGGTATATAGTAGAACTTTATAAGCTTATACTAAAATTTTAGAAACTTATAAGAATAAATAGTAATTTATAATAAACTTTAGTAAGATATAAAGTTTCTAAATATTATATAACTAAACTAAGTTAATTACTATATTTTATTTAGTAAAGGTTATTTTAAAGGGAGATATAATATTATTTTAGTTCTAAAGAGAGGTTCTTATAGCTATATTACCTTAAGAAAACTTAAAAGTAACTATTTATTAAATATAAGTAATAAATTTCTATATAATACTACTAAGTACTTTTTATAGAGGTCCCCTATAAGTTTTAACTAATTAGTTAAAATATACTATAATTATCTAATAAATTTACTAATAAGTATTAAATAGTTAAAATAGTTTTTATATTCTAGTAGTAATTATTATATACTTTATCCCTTTAGAGCTATTAAGAAGTATTAATTCTACTATAATAGGTACCTAAAGATATAAGTATAATAGTTTAATAGAAATAGAGGGGGGGGAAGGGTTTTAAACTAGTAATTTAGGCCTAGGTTAAGCACTTATAGTACCTATACGTAACTATAAAACTATTATAATAAGTAATTAAAGGCGTTAACGTTATAGTTCTAGGTACGTTAAAGTTCTAGTATGATACGCTGTAGCCTACTAATAGCAGGTTACAGTAAAAAGTGTGAAGGAGGGAAGTTATAGAGTCACCATAGTAGGTTAGTGGATATTCTGCCTAGTGTTCATAAGAATTGCACCCCTCTTAGGACAAAGAGATGAAGAGGCTGTTGTCACACCCACCATATATAGAGGCACTAAGGCGGTGTTTAGCGTAATGCCAAGAAACTGTGCCTCGATTCTCGTACTATATACTCAAATCTGAAGATATTGACGCTTAGAAAGGCAAGTCTGGCTGCAGAGAGCTGGAAGTCCCAGCCGAATGTTGGGTTAGCATTGGCTTAGCTTGTAAGCGATAGAGTAAGTGGCCAAGACGTTTTAGTAAACATATACTCTACACTCGAGAATTATTCGAAGATTCCGGGTTCACGCGAAAGATGTCCCGCAAAGACCAGCCCGGCCATACTGATATGTTTGACATCATCAAAAGTTCAAGGCCAAGACATCGCGATAATTCATGTTTACGTAGAACTCCACAGAGGCCATGGACCATGGTTCACGAACTCCGAGCTATTCACCTATTCACTAAGTTTTCTTCAGCAGTGCACGTATGTCAGATCTCCACTACCGCCAACAGCACCGACAAGATTGCGATCTCGGATGGTCGGAGATGCTGTCGTTCCTAGCTTTCGTCCACATCTATAAAGGCGATTACCATTCTCCTCTAAATCAGCTACATTATACCAACGAAATCATCCCATTTCTTCACACTCCTTCTACGGTGACCTCTGGGTACCATCCATTCTTTACTACCTCAGATTCTTTGAAAGTCATTCAGGATGTTCAAAAACCAGCCACTCATTCAATTCTTTTTTCTCGTGACCAATCTTTGGTCTCTTATTTGCGCCGGAGCTCCTACATCACTCGTCTATGTGTATCGCGGGGACTCCAGATCACCCGCCGAGATCCAGAAAGCGGGTGGCTTTCTCCCCAAGGGTCAAATCGCGTTTGGTGCCATCGCTCCGGATACCAGTCTCCTCAATCACGCAAAAGCCGTTGTAGACGGTAGCGCTCGTGATGATTATGGCTACGCCTTTACCTCATCCTCTCTCGATGTTGCCGAACGCTTCATCACCATGATGCCTGCCGGCTATGTTTACAAGATCCACGTTACCGCCAACATGATTGACAGCATAGGCACCTTGGGCAAGCATAACCCCTTGGACGACGAGCGTGAATACACTGCTCTGGGCGGTATCAAGTTCGAGCAGATCGTGTCTTGGAGGGCCTACGAGAACGGCAAGTCTGGCGAGGATGAGCTCAATAAGGAGTTCAACGAGAAGGTATACAGTGCCGCCGTCGCTGGAGGTGTGCAGTTTCAGCTTCCAGGCTTTTTCGAGAACACCAGATTCTGTGAGGAACAGCCTGGGAAGAGTGGTCTTCTTTCCAAGCGCCGTTTCGGCTTCGGTCTCGGATCTCTCAAGTCTGGTTTTGGAGCCCTCAGGAGCATCAAGGGAGTCAAGTCCATTTCCAACGTATGACCTCACTTTTATTCTCACTGGTCGAGTGTATGCTGACATCTTTTGATAGGTCTTCAAGTCCAACCCGTTCAAGAAGGGTCCAAAGACATCTTCCTTCGGCTCAGCTCCTCAGTCTCCGGTCAAGTCAGGTCCGGGAAGAAAGATGCCTGACCTCGATTCTACGCCGGCTCCTCCTATTAACCAGGGCCTTCCTGCCGACAAGAGTCCTATGGACAACAGCCCAGCGGTGAAGACTCCTGTTGTCGACAAGACTCCTGACAACGTTCCTGGGGACAAGACCCCTGTTGACAAGACACCTGTCGACAAGACTCCGTCTCAGGCAGCTCCCAGCATCAAGCCCGATGTCGATGGAACTCCTGGACAGCAGCCCGGTGGCACGCGACAGGGTCCTGATGACCAAGTTCCTACCGATGCAACCAGTGGACGCCTGGGAGGAGTCGGAGGATCAGGAATGCCTATCGCCATCAACCCTTTCCCGGCAGCTGGATTCCCCATGTCACCATTCCCAATGACTCCATTCCCCTCTACCACCGGTACGGACACCACGATGAACACCCCGGTTGACAGCACGCCTGTTGATGGAACCACCACCGATGGCACCTCTACCGATGGTACACTCGCTGACGGCACTTCTGCTGACGGCACCTCCACTGATGGCACGACGGTCGATGGCAAAACTCCGGTTGATAGCACGCCGTCTACTACCTCTACTACACCTCTCGACGGAACTCCAGTTGAGGACACACCTGTGCAGGAGTCGCCTGCTCATGATGTTCCCACGCAAAAGGCTCCGCTTACCGACACACCTGTCAAAGATACTCTCACTAAGGATGCTCCCACCAACGACGTCAAGGACACGCCAGGGAAGGAGACACCCGCAAAAGAAACACCTGGAAAGAACACTCCTGTCCTGGATACTCCTGTGAACCAGCTCCAAGCTCGTCAGGCTCAAACTTGCGCCAGCCCCAAGTCCGCCTACGAGATTGCGAAGGCCTACTTGGCGAGTGTGAACATGTGATTGGGCACAGTCGCAAAGTCGTAGGCTTCTTGGATGATTTAGGGATAGACGAATGGTGTAAACGATAACGCTGCGGGTGCAAAGACTTGGAACGTGTAATTTCGTTGCGATGGACCTTTTTTTATTTGTACAGAATTTGCCACGGTACCCATATACATAGATTATAGATTGGGATAGACAAATTATGTTTACACTACTACTAGGCTAGTACTTCTTCACGCTTGTTCATGTGGCGCAATGAGACACCTTTTGGCTGTTTGTCTGTCACGCTGTTGTCCTCTAGACAACGACTTTCGTGCATGAAACATTATCTATGTCTTTTGTGGTTGTCCATCTCAATCTGAACAGAAACCTCTTGCGTCTTCATGATGATGTGCTTCTGGCTATTGTCATCATCGTCCAGCTGTACCCAGTTGTCTCGGTTACCAGTCTGACAGTTGGACACCGTCATCGCCCGTCCACTAAGGTTGTTCAACTTAACTCCATTGCTTCCTTGGTATCCAGAGTCTCCATGCAAGGGGTTTGAACCGGTGTTGTTATACGAGCCCTTCGAAGACTTGTCAAGCCAGAACTTGAGGAGTCGTCGAAGGGATGGCAATGAGCCTGCGATGATGCCGATACCGCATTCGAAGATTGACCATAGGACGATGTTGGCAATGTTATCTGTAAGAATATAGTCGATTAGTCTTCTGTTGTCTAAGACCTTCTGCCAAAAGATATGGTTAGGTACTCACGCAAATAATCTTCGACCACATTGTAGTACTGCAGGTATGGCAGACGGATGATGGTGGCAGCGCTTGCACTGTACTATTATTAGCAAGCAGTTGAATGTCAATGAGCTTCCAAAACATACATGGCTCCCAGCGCGAGTACGGCACACACAGAAGCCTTCACTCTCGGCTTCATCTGTAGTCCACACACAACCACAGTCGGGACAACGGCGCAGGTCCAGTCAGTGATGATCGCCATCACCGAAATCAGATAACTGATGCTGGTTATGATATTGGTCGGTGCGCAAGACCCGTCCAGAGACTTGTCCCAAGTGTAGCTGACGGGCCTGCAAACGGCGACAACGGCGATGAAGCCAATAGTGGTGCTGAGGATCGATGCGATCATGGCAGTCCAGAGAATGACTCGGTATCTCTTTCTGTTTGTGATCCGGAAGACGGTGAAGCAGATGCTGGCTTTGATGAAAGGGAGGCTCCAGGCGTAGGTGATTTGGAAGAAGACTAGCCACTGCGGACGGTCAACATTGGTTTGAGGAGAGTGACAAAGTGAGGGATGTTCACCTTGATGCCTGCTACAGAATTCCATTCTTCAAGACGCGCATCTTTCGTTCCCATGCCTGCATATACAGCTATGGAAGTGAAGGTACAGCATGCCAGGAAAATGCCCTCTGAATGTTAGATCGTTGCCATGGACTTAATCGGTCACCAGTGCTAAACTTACCAAGCCAGCTATCATCAAATAGTCGTCAAGCCCAAGGGCACCTGTGTTCTGACGAGCCCAAACACGAAGGACGACCACGATCAGGGAGATGGCACCAAGGCAAATGGTCACACCCAGCGTGGCCACGCCAATTGGATCCGGCTGGGTGATCCAGTTCACCTGCATCTCGTCGAACGGTTTTGCAGCCATTATGACTCAAGATCCGATGCCAGAGGTGTGAAGAATGAATGACGAGAAACGAAGGAAAGACCAGCTACTACGAAAATCGTTGATATCCCTTCATGAGGGCCATCTGTGATTTTACCTGAGACCTGGAAAGGGGCAAATCACGAAGTAACATCATCGCGAGCTTTGCGTTTGAGGTGGGTAGATGCGATCGACAAACAGCCATCCCAGAGTTCCAATGCCAATAGCCTTCTGTTGGAACCTGCTGCCAACGACAACCCGAGACCTCCATACTGGATATCCCAGTTGTCATTTCGCTATTTCATGCTCCATGGCACCGAATCCTTGTAGCCCAGGGAACGCGCAACATTACCAGCCACAACAAGTAGAGATCCACAGTCGTCTTCACCGATGTTTCTCAAAGATGCTAAGGCTAAGAGTTGAGGTATCTTGATCCATGTTCCAACAGAAGTCTCAGGGAGAAGAGTCCCGCTTTGATGGTTACTGTATGAGGTTATCATGGCTTCCAACAGTCGTTCAAATCCCGAGGCCCTGGGAAATTGAGAGTCCATCCATCATCTTGCCTCTTCGGAACACGGACGGGGGCGACAACAAGGAGAACAGGGTGCTGCTGCAACGGTTACTTGGAGTTGAGATCCCACGATCTGCGAGCCACTTTCGTCTTGTGGTATTCGCGGTGGGGACCCAAGAGGTCATTGGTAGTGGATGGATCAAACTGAAGGGATACCAGCCGACAGGATTGTTCTTCCCAGGACAGTCCAACCAGCATACACCGTTGGAATACCCTAGCATATGCTTTACCCCTGTTTGATCCTGATGGATGAGCGGAGCTTCCGAGGCGGAAGGCCTCCCGGTAAGAACTCTGTTCAAGAAAATCTGTCTAGGCATGTCTCGGTTGCGGCTCTGTTGGAAGTCAACTTCCACTTCCCTGCACATGCCCCCACGACTCAAGGGTGCGGTTGGCGTTGGGTTGCCACCGAGGCCGTGCAACGTCGACGTGGAAGCGAGGACATGAAGTGGAGAGAGGTTCCGACCGAGCAAACATCTACCCCTGTTCCAACAGGAACGCGCTCATTTGCATCCTTGAATAGCTTGGGCCCTTGCATTGAGAGAGGCAACGGTTCTGCAGGGCAAAGACAGCACATCGAGGAGCAGCAGGCAGCTATGTGGCACAAACTGAGATGAAGAAATTCCTCAGCGGCAGTTGAACCGCCCATTTGGTAAACATCTTGTGTAACCTTACTAGTTAAAAAGTCGTACTGCTTTTTCTGTTGAGTCGGATGAAGTTATTCTGCTTTCGTCTTTTGAGTTGCAGTACCAAAGCCTGGTCAAAGTTCTAGCCTACTGTACTGGCAAGTGCAGTTTGCCCATGTTGTTCTTATTGTGGATTGTGTAGTGGGTTGTGCCCAAAAATGCTCTCCTGTTGGACTTCTGTCTGAGAAAAGAGCGTAGCATCGTGAACCAGCATGCGCGCCCCGTATCTGTGCCTCCTCGGTTGTGATGGAGCGGGCCCGCCCGTACAGCGCCGATCTGCCATCGACACAGTCGCTCCGACTCTTTTCAGAAAGAATACCGATGCAAGAATGACCAACAACCCTCCCGCGTCCCAGAAGAGTAAACGCCTGGCCGATCAGCCCGGGTGCGTGTCCAGTGTGACGAGTAATAATATGAAACTCGGCTATTGGGCGACAAGATTGCCCTGCAGATGAGATGACTTTCTGACGAGATGTCGTTGGTTCAGACGCAGGCGGGGTGCGGAGGTCGAAGCCGACTCCGAATCCTGTTGGAACCCTTTTGACGGGTTATCCACAATTATCCCGCCAGGGATCGCGCGCGGACGTCTTCCCCGAGGGCTGGGGTGACCGGGGACCTGGTTGAGGGCTCCATTTCTTCAGCGAGGGGTGGTTGAGCGGGCGGCTGCCGGGAGACAGATGGGATAACTCGGGGAGGAAAGGAGCGAAGGATTTCGTGTGCCGGGCTCTTCATTACGTCTAGACGTTGCGGGATGCAGATGCTGGACTGACAGGTCGAAGAAGAGGAATCAGTTGGGGAAAGATCGGCCCAAGTTCAACGGTGCTCGTACGGCCATGGATTATTCACAGCTGCGTTAATTCCGCTTCGATACTGCCAAGCTCTAGTGTACAAGTGCAATTACCCATCCGCCGCGCAATCATGCCTCGTGAGGCGCACGCACCGTGCCAACACAATTATCCTTGCGCGTGACGAAGATGCCCTCGCGAACCTCGCCCTCCAATCCACCGAGGGCGCCCGTCGTGTAGAAGCCGAGCATGCGCTTGATCCTGTCGGACAGCTTGGCCTCGACATCCTTACGCAGAGACAGGAAGTTGTTCTCCTGCTGGCGGATGAAGGACCGCATGAAGAACATGAGAATGACGGGGCGCTCGCCGGCCTCCTCCCGGTTGGGGCCCGTGGCGTGCCACAGACGGCTGTCGAACACCAGCGCGGTACCTGCCGGGCCCTCTGCGGCGACGGTGCCGTCGACGGTGAAGAGGTCATCGGGCGCAATCTGGCCGAGGTGAGAGGCAGGGAAGACTCGGGTGCCGCCGTTCTTCTCTGTGATATCCTCAAAGTACCACATGATGTTCAGGCCGAAAGCCATGTCGCGGACGGGCGGCTGGATGGCGACCTGGTCGGTGTGCAGCTGCATCGGCACGTTCCCCGGACGCGCAATGTTGGCGCTGTAGCTGTGGATGAGCGCGTGCTCGCCCAGGAACCAGGGAACGATCTCGTCAATCAGGGGGTGGTTGAGCAGGTCGAGGAACTCCTCGCCCTTGTTGACGAGGGTCCAGATGCGCTGGTTGGGGGCATTCGGTCCGCCGTCCGCCGCGGAGACGCCCGCCTTGCGCTCGCCGGCCGCCTGCTCCTGCGTCGCCTTCTTCAGGATAGCAACCTGCTCGGGCGTGAGCGCGTTCTTGACGAGGCCGTAGCCGAACTCCTTGACGTCGCGCTTGACCTGCTCGATGTCCTCGGTGGGCTCGGGCAGGCGTGCGAAGGCGCCGGGGACGACCTTCTTGGGCGGGACGGGCGGGTTGGGGGTGAGGAGGTCGGCGAACTTGATGGCGACGGGGACGTTGCCCTTGGGCATGGCGGCCTCGTGGAAGAAGGCGTCCTTGAAGAGGCCGTAGCGGGGCTCGAGCTTGCCCTCGTAGAACTGGGCGATGTACTCGGGCTTGATGGTGATCCTGGTGTCGGGCTCGTCGGGGCAGGCGTTGAGGAGCCTGGCCTCGGGCCCGCGGGCGTCGAGGAAGACCGGGGCGCGGTCGCCGAAGGTGAGGGAGACGAGGGCGTTGAGCTGGGAGAGGAGGGGCAGCTTCTCGGTGATGACCTCGTGGGCGCGGGCGACGTCGGCCTCGACCTTTTGGGTGAGGTTGCTGTAGGACTGCTTGCTGAAGTCCAGCCCGGGGGTGAAGGTCTTTCCTGGTGCGACGCCGGCCATGGTGATGTTGTATAAGCCAAAGATGAACGGAATTTGGGGTATCAATATGAATCAGATAGTTGAGATGAGTGAGAGACGAGCGCTGGCGATGAGAGAGCGAGGAGCAAAAGGCCGGCGTCAGCGGTCTGATTATGTATGTCGACAATAGCCCAACTCATGCTGATTGCCATTGGATGAGGTCGAGCCCGCGCCATTGCCGCTCGCAACTCTCATTTACCAGGCTCTCGAGGTTGAGCTGCGAGGAGACCCTGCAGTGAGACGGCCCCGGCAGCAGCTCCAACGGCCGGTGGGGTCGTACGAGTGAGGGGTGTTGCAGCATCCTGCACATCCTCACTTGTTGCTTTGGTCGTCGTTGGCTCAACGGTGTTTGCGCGCTGCTCCTCTGCGGTCCGGGGTGCGGATGAGGTTTCATTGCTCGCGGAGTCGACCCCGGCAGCCGGAGACGTGCTGCTGGGCCGCAGCTCCTCGCGTTGGTCATCCTCGCGTCTGGACGGGTTCTCCGCGCCGGCGGTGGGTCTCTGGGCCTGCTCGGCTACCGTTGCATTCGACGGGCGGGCGTCTGGGAGCGCTGTTCGAGGCGACAGGATGCTCATGGTTGGCGATTTTGGTGGCTCCGTCGAGCCGGGTTGTGTTGGAGGTTGCTGAGTGGTGGTATACGGACCAGGCTGGATCGATGACGGGTCGGGTCTGTTTGCTGGCTCCTCAGTCTGATGAGTCTGACTCTGAGTTGATGACTCGGCTTGAGGCGACATCTGTTCGCCCTCTGATTGAGATTGAGGCAGTGGTGGTGGTGCATCTGGTTGGTTTCGGTCAACGAGCTGGCCCGAAGCATCGCGCTTGCGACGCGTCCTCCGACCCTTGAGAGACGGGTCGAAGATGGTATCCTTGTTCTTGTACCAGTTGTGGATTGAGCCGTACGGAATCTTGAACCACTCAGACGCCTCGTCCAGCGTTGGCCGCCGATACTCGCCTTCAAGACGCTCTTCGCCGCCGCGCAGGCGGATGGGCTGACCGGGGCGGTTCTTGACGCGGTGATGCTCCAAGAACATCAAGACCTCCCGCTTCTTCTCGATGGTGTATCTACGCTCATGTCGCAGGACCGGTTTGGGAGCAACATAGGGCTTAGGCTTGGGTTTTGGGCCTCGCTTTTTCTTCACTGGTGGTCCTTCCTCGCCGGCCGGCTGGCTGGGTGGAGGGGGAACATGGACGACGGGCGGCTGTTGTGAGTTCATGATGTTTGGTGAGTGAAGACTCGCAAGGATAACCCTCTGCAGAATTATTGTGGTGAAAATGAAAAGGGATGGCACAGAGCTTCACCGCCTGCTTAAACAGGTTATTTTGCCGGGTTTCGCAATTTGGCGAATTTTTCCGGTGTGTGACCCAGCGAAATTATCTTCCGTCTTCCGTCAGTGTTTACCGGAATTCACTGTGGGGTTTGAGCAAGGGTCGAATTCAAGCGCACAAACAGAAAGAGCTATGCAGCTTTGAACAGGGCACTCCTAAAAATGCATTCAACAAAGACTGGCTTCCCGTGGTTAATTAGAGATAAGTAAGTGGCCAGTTTGAGTAAGACCATTCCCTGAACCAGTTTGAGGGCATCGCCGTCTTGGGTCATTCGGGGTTGCGAATCCACAGGTGGTGTTTTTATCCACCATTTTCAACTTCCAATCCTTGCTCGTGTTTCTAAGCTCGTTTCTCCTGGCTGTGGACCTGATAATACATGGCCGAAGCACTCCTCTCAGCCAGCAAATCCTTCACGTACTTGATCAGCAAGGTTCCGACTTGTCGTGCAATGAATTGATCGCCTTGGTCATTTGGGTGAACACCGTCTCTGTTCATCGAGTCGGTGTACCCAGCCTTGGTCGAGCAGTCGGCGATCATGACCGGGGACTCAGTCGAATTCTGCTGCGCTGCCCAGCCCGGAATTTGTTGGTTCAGCGTGGTGATGCCACCACCGTTGAAGGACAGCGGAATTAGGAGGTCGACCTAGCCATGTGTCAGTGAGCGAGCTGTGGTCAAGTTCCAGATGATCTGAGACTCACAAGAATTTTCATGCGTGGGTTCGACGCCCTCATGAGTCCTACCATCTTCGTGTACGACGCGATGATGTCGTTAGTGGTCCGGCCTTGAGCGACATCATTGGTACCCAGCATATACTGCACAATGTCAGGTTTGCTGCTGGCCAGCCACCCTTGAAGGTACTGATTCGCGATGTTGATCGACAGCCAGCCCGAGTGGCCCTCATGGTGAAGGTCGAAGGAGCCCGACTGAGCCCGGCAGTTTTGCGGGTTGTTCGTCATGGAGCCCACGAACTGCACTTTGTCGGCGAGGTTCTCCTTCACGAGCATGTCCCAGACATATGCCCGCCAGCAGGTGATCTCAGTGATTGAATCGCCCAGCGGCACTTTGCAAATGTTAGATTGGCACTGTGATGGATGCAGACTTGCGATGTTGCTCACTGATTTTGATTTTCTGCGCAGCTGCGGCTGCCGCCAGGGCAATCACTGACATCAACTTGAAGGGAAGCATTTTGACGCGTTGTCTTTCAGAGATTCGCAATGGTGAGGGCAACAATGTGATCAAGGATGGCCTAGAGCGCTATGTGAACGCATTTGATCGAAGTCATCACCGAAGTTATATACGTTGACGGGCAAACCGAACTCCAGCCCAACCCCGCTAATCCATTTTCTTAGATGGCGTTGATTTAGGCAGTATGTGCGCATGTTTCCCTGGATACGAACAGCTCGCGCTTTGTTCTAAGCCGGGTAAATATGGAACTTGGACCCCCGAATCCCTTCAATACCACACTAAAAGAACAAAGAGCTTGGCTGTGATACCTGAATGAGCCTACTAATCAATTTGACCATACCTTACATCTCCGCTCGTCCGTTGTTACACCAATATGCGGTTTCCAATGTTCCAAAAGTGACAGTATGTGATCGCGATTTAATAAACCTCCGGCACCCTGCCGAATACAAGCAAAAGTCCATGAAGATGTTCATCTTTTGGCCTCGTATAGCGGGACTTATTTGATGCTACTCTGGTTATGAAGTTGATTTCACCCCTACTTCTGAGTTTACCATTACTACAACGGTTGAACGGGAAATTGCTGAGCTCCTCAAGGAAGCCACGTTTTCAGGATGAGATCAAGATTCACGGCGCTCTAATTTCGATTGTTCCTCAAGAAAATGATGTTCAAGCATTAATATTCTTTCTAATCATGCCTGGTACTGGGTATCAACAATATTCAGTCACACTGTTTCCCAAATTTCCCCATCCATCCACAGTTTAACCCCTACTTTTGACATTGCCTTGTGTCGTCAGGATATACTCCTGATCCAATCCTGTACTGTAATTCAAATCGTTTTAGTGTTTTAGCGTCCATTTTCCAGTTGCATGACCAGTCTTCATCGTCCGGTAAACCGCCTCTCAGCATACCGCAACGGTACATACAGCAGCGCACTCAGGAAAAACGCAACCTCAAACCCAATGTCGCCCGTCGTCACCGCAATAGGTCCCGTAAACCATACCTGCGAGATACACGGCACGACCAACCCAAAGCTCAGAACCGCCGACGCAATCGCCGCCGCGCCCCAGGGCAACCTCGCCGGCACATCCCAAATCTCCGCATCGTACGCCTTCGCGTTAGCCTTCCTGAACACAAAGTGCTCCGTAACAACGATGCCCACGAACGAGGCGGACCAGTACCCGATGAGCGCGATGAAGTTCTCCAGACTCAGGAAGAAGTCGCCGGCGGCCTTGATGGCGATGGGGATGATGATGGCGGTTACAATGATGGAGAAGATGTAGCGGGGGATGCGGAAGGCCGGGATGAGGGTCTGGAAGTTCAGGGTGATGGCGTACATGGTGCCGGAGATGTTGGCGAGGAGCGTGAAGGCGAGCACGACGAGGATGAACTTGCCGAAGCCGCCGGCGGGCGCGAGCATGGCGCCGAGGACGCCGCCGACGAGGGTGTTGTCGAAGCCGGTCTGCCAGGCGGGGATGTTGCCCATGGCGCCGCCGATGGCCGCGCCCAGGGTCATGAGGAGGATGGTGGGCACGACGAGGCCGAGGAAGCTGTAGGCGAAGATGCGGTGGCTGGTGCGGCTCAGTAAAGGCTGTTCATGGAAATAGGTTATGAGGATAATGGCGACTTACGATGAGAGACGTGGCGTGGGGTCGAAATACGTCGTCAAGTCTGATGCAATGCAGGCCCAAGGGATCATATATGATGCAATGACACCACCGAAGCTGAGAACCCCAGCCGCAGTTGCAGGCTCCGGGGTCGCCTGGGCCTTCAGCTGGTTTCCACCGCAGCCCACAGCGATGATGATGGCGACCAAAGCTGGCATCCATGCGTAGCCCTCATAGAAGTGCAGCACGTTGAAGCCGCAGAAAGAGATCAAGAGGGCGGCGACGCCGATGAGAACGATGCCAACGGCGGTCGACAGGTCGCCCTCGGACACCGCAGAGAGGCATTGGCCCCCGATGACGCAGATGATGACACAGAAACCCGTGAGAGTAGCCAGGTTGAGAATGACAGGAACAGACACAAGATAGTAACTAAGGATTATTCATTAGCTCACCGACCGGGATTAAAATCATGATCTCACGATTCGCAAGTTAGGCTGGGAACTCACCCAAAGCTGAAGCGCGCCTGAATCATCTGGCGCATACCAGTCTTCGGACCCAGAGTCGACAGGTACGCCGGTGCGAGCGTCGAGAGCAAGTTGAAGAAGAGAATGACCAGTGCCGAGTCTCGGAGGCTGAGGCCGAAAGACACCGGACCCAGCATACCGAACGTAATTCTGCCAAGAAAGTAAGCAAAAATGCACCAGAAACTCCTCTCTCAAGTGTTTTCCGCTCACGCCAGGATATTGGTATTGATCGAGCACCAAATCGTAAAGGCATTGAAGTACTTCGTCGCGGTCCGGGCCTCGATCGGAATCGGCTCGATGCCGCCCTCCTCGACCCGCCCGGCCGTCAACACCGTGCGGAGAAAGCCTTTGGCCTTATGTCCGGCCGCCGCCGGGGGCTGCTCAGCGCCGGAGACCTCTGTCGCCTGCTTGTCATCATGCGCCGGCTGGGCGTGCTGCGTCTCCAAGTCGTTCGCCATGTTGTTCGTTGGACCCGAAAATCTCAAGTCAGCGCAACAACACCAAAAATAAAGAACGAACAGGTCGGGCAATGTTCTCCGCGGGCAACCTTGAGGACGCAGAAAAAGAGGCGAACAAGGTTGACTCAAACTGGATCCCCCGAGAGTCAGAGAGATGGCAAAAAATTTGCTCCGACCGGGTGAACCCGCAAGTGTGCTGTGTGTTTACATAATTCTCCTCATTTATCGACAAGCCTAGATGCGACTCTGGTTAGTCACTCTTTGCGCTAATGAACATCTTTTGTTGCGGGAATTTTAGCGCGTTGGATTGGGCGATCTTTAGTGGTTTACGGGGTCCCGTTTGCTCTCGCTTGCGGCGATAAGCAGGGTGCGTGGACAAAGAAGCTTTAATTGCACGATGGAACGCCAGAAAAGTCAATTACCATCATTTGTTTTGCGTGGCAAATGCTTGGCCTTTGAGAGCTCCAGAATGAGAGTCTTATCAGTAGAATCCCATGGAAAATTTGTGTCAGCGCGGAACTCTCTGATTAAGATGATGTTTATTAGGAGTGAGTGATGTTGTTTGAAAACACGTGCTGATCCTCTTCTTTCCTCTCCATCTGGATATCTGCTTTGCGATTCTCTCACAGCGTTGTGGTATCATGGATAGGCATCGCCTTACGTGCCTGTGTGGTCTGTCAGTAACACTCTTGTTTCAAAGTGCGAAGGGTCATCGTACATGCGCTTTTGCAGCACTTCGCCACCTCGATTCCCTTGGTGCCAGTGGTGATGCACTCTGTCTGACAAGGAAGCTCTTCGGATGATTGACAGGTGAAGCTGGAGGTAAAGCCTTGCGCGACCGCTGAAGAATTTGATTCGCACAAACTGGCAGTGGCCTTCTTGCAGCGAGCCGTAGCGCCAAGAGCCATCGAGACGAGAACGAGTATCTCAGGCACTTTCATGATGACGAGTTGATGACTGAGGGGTTTCCGCAGATTCAATCTTCCAGATGAGTGGTTGCAATTATATCCAACATGCAACTCAAAACTTAAAACTTTGTTGTGTAGATAGAGAACTACTGAAGCATTGAAGGATCGTTCAGCCTATTTATGTTGCCTCAGTCGTTGTTTCATGAACCCGATGCCAAGACCAGTATTTGGAGTTGAAGTTGAGACAATAACTTGCCGTATGTTTCTAAACAAATTCAAGGATGCTGTGAGTTAATGATCCAGCAAGTAAGGCAACGGAGGCCGCGCTTTAGCCTCACCTCTTGCGAGTGCTGGGCAACTGATGTGAGAGGCAATCAATTAACTCAGGCCTCCATGAGACAGAGACATTTTTTCTGCATTTCCACGAGAATGCGGTCACTCAAGCATCGTTGATGGCTATTTTTATCAGTGGCTCTTGCGCTGCTGTCGTGTGTCATGCGCTCAAAACCTGTGAACCAGGACATGGTCATCAGATGACACACATTCAACGCGATTCGTCTGACCAATATGCAATTTTCCTACCATACCTTTTTGTCACAGTCGAGAATAAATTGTGAGACCAACGTGAGAGCACTGGTATGGATGCACTAATGTGTCGGGATCAATCGCCCGAATTGCAGCCTTTCTATTCGCCCCAAGATCTATGTCTATGTCATTTGCCAAATACGTAGGAAATCCGCCGGTTGCTGGTGTTCAACCTCTTGTTTTCATCACTCATTCAAGCCTCAAAAATAGTCAAATGGGGTATCTATGAGCTCTCGAACTTGTTCAAGATGCTCTCAAAGTCCTTCCAGTCGTGCATAACCTCGAACGCGCCGAGCTCCTCGGAGAACAGCTTGACGTGGGCAGCGACCTTCTCCTCGGCGTTCTCCTCGTCGTAGTAGGGGCCGACGTAGCCCAGCAGGGGGATGCCGGCGTTCTTCGCCGCGGTCGCGCCGCTCCTGCTGTCCTCGATGGCGATGCACTCGCTGGGCTCGAAGCCGAGCACCTTGCAGGCGTGGAGGTAGATGGCGGGGTTGGGCTTGGAGGTCGGGGGGTCGATGCTGCTGGCGGCGGAGAAGATGCCCTCGTTGGGCTTGCCGAAGTACTGGTCGATCTTGATGGTCTCGACGGAGGCGACGACGCGGGGCATGGCGGACGAAGAGACGATGGCCTTGGCGTACTTGCCCTCCTTGTGGATCTTGTCGAGGACGGGGACGACGTTCTTGCAGGGCGCGGCCTGCTTGCGCAGGTACGAGATGGTGAGCTCGAGCTCGCGGGCGGTGTAGGTGTCGAGCTCGTCGGCGGGCATGGTGAAGTTGTGCACCTCGAAGAGGCCGGCCATCATGCTGGGGAAGTTGCGGCCGACGTACTTGTGCATAAGCTCGACGCCCTGGTAGCGCTTCTCGATGCCGTACTTCTCGAGGATCTCGTTGGCGAGCTGGGCGCAGGCGGTGAAGGCCGAGATCTCGGACAACACGAGCGTGTTGTCGCAGTCGAAGAGGATGCACTTGACCTGTGGTTCAGGTGGTAAGCATCATGGTCATTGTAGGATGTCAACGGAGCTCCGGAATGGGCTCCGATGATACTCACCTGAGGCATTTTGGCGGTTGAATGGCTGAAGACTGTGAGATCTGTAGAAAAAGTTGCTGGTAAGGAGAAGAGAAAGAAAAAAAGATCACAGAGCTGCGAGCTGTTGATTGTCAATGGCAGATTTGTAGTGATCAGCGGCCTGTGACAAGGTGGGGTGGGAATCAACAGGAACCATGCGAATGGAGGGGCAATGGAGGGGCAAGTGGGTTCCAAAAAAAGAGCGCAGGCAGGTTTCAAGCAGACTGCATTTCATTGATCACCATTCAGATGGATGGACGAGTCAAGGTTCTTCAGGAAGGTCAATGTTGTGCCTGATTGGTACATATGGTCATAGCCATCGTCTCCGAGCGGAAAGCATCTTTCTCTTTCTCTCTGTGTCTCCTCAACCATCGAGTAGATCTTAGGGGGAGGATCTGGAGTACGCGCCGTTGCGATCAACGCTGTACCTCTTCAGATACCCGTCCAGGGACCACGTTGAGGGACGAGATAACAACAGATTTCAGGTCCCGCTCTGCCGGACAGGCGACCAACGGGAAGTTTGCATTTGAGCGACTGAAACCTTCGGTCAGCACGTTCTGCAGCGGAATGATGTCATTTGGTCCCTTCGCCATTGGCGGCTCTTTATCCCTACAAGGTGTTGAAAAAAGCCCGCGTCCACATTCCGCCATGGCCGCCGGGAGCCCGAGGTCTTTTACGTACTGGGTTCAACGCAGGACAGAATTCCGGCATGACGTAGTGCGCAGACATATTTCAGCGAAGTGGGTAATTAAACTGGACTCTCGCTTGACTCGCGTCTTTTTCTCTCTCTGCAGACTCGGTGGTTGGCCCGAGTACGGTCCGATTGTGGAGACGCCAACCCGGCGGTTTTCGCGGCTTTGAAAATTCGGCACGGTAGTCGCGGATGCCGGCTGAGGGGGAGGAGTGAATCGAGATAGACCGATTCAGGTGTTGAAGTCTGGGGTGTTGATGTTTCCCCAGGCCTCATTCGCCTCACCCAAGACAAAAGCGTCCAAACTTCCGATGCCGCCCGTGACCTAACGCGTCGGCCATGTAAGTAAGCTGACCATCTCAGAAGAACCTGACAACTTCTTACCAAAGAGTCAAATTGACCCCAATCGCTGATGTGGAAGAGTCCGGTGTCCAAAGCGTCAACTGAAGCTACAGTACCGGCACGTCCATTGACTGGTTGATCCTCGGCGAGGTTATCTGACTTCTCTTCGAGATTCTGAGATGTTGCGACGTTTGACCTATTATTCAAGTTGTCGAATCGGCTACTCACTCTTGAGTTGTAAGTCTCAGTCGCTGTTGGAAGATTTCTTGCTGCCATCATTTCGCTTGGAGCAAATTCTCCCCCAGCCTGGATGGGTGAAGTGGAAGCCAGGTAGTTGTTGTTCCGGAGAACTTCCAGGCGCAGCTCTTGTAAAACAACCCCATAACGTTGCGTCAAAGTCCCCTTTACTGAGTTTCTTTCATACAGTGAATGGCATTTTGAAGCCTGCTGAAAGCAAAGAGCATACTTCTCCGGGGCCTCTGCTCGTTGTTGGATCGCGTAGACATAGAGAATTACCACAGCACTGAAGCCGTAGTACGGGATGAACTATGGCAGGATTCGCTTCAGTAACTAATATTTGAAGTCACAAGAATCTCAGGGAGCATCATGGAAATTAACTCACAAACAAGGTGCTGTAGAACTCCCCAGCAGCGTCAATAGTATCAATGTGGTCAGCAATATTCATCGCTGCATCGATACAGCTTTTGATGTTCTGTTGAGTCTGTTGTTGTCTCGCCGACCAAAGGCCTTCATCATTCGAGTCCGCGGCAGAGAATGACTTCAACAGAAACGGTCGATGGACGAGAATTTGGGCATGCCAGTACGCAAGCCTGAGAACATCACGTTGACGCAGAACCAACTTGACAAAAATGGCGGAGCTGCCGCCGGCATCCAAAAGGTAGGATATGTGATCTCGCCATTCTGATAACTCTTTGCTGAACTTGTCGGCCAATACAAAATGCTCTTCGGTAGATGGAGTATGGATTCCATAAAACGCCCGGAGAATCCGTGCAAGGATTCGAGATAACCTGAGTAGCACATTAGCTTGCGGTCAACTTGGCGATAAATCGAGTCGTCATACCTTATTTGGGCCACACTGCCCGAAGTCACGGACGGACCGCAGACAACCGGCTTAGGTGTCAAGCCAAAACGAAGTTGTTCGTCGTCAATGCATAGGGGCAATTCCTGGTCGATGTCCTCATCATGAAACGTCATGGGCCGACCCAAAGCGGCGCTTAGATACGTGTTGAGATTATACGCACACCAAAACGTTCTTTTCCGGCACTCTAAGTCAATGTGATTGGCGCGATCTGTTGACTTGGCGTCCAGTCGGGACTTCCTATGTATCCCAAGAGCCATGGCGAGATGGGCCGTAATACCAAACAGAGTCCAACAGTGATTCAATCGAGACTGAGCTAAGAGGTAGAAGCACTGGGCTAAGCGTGCCTGCACATGTGCCAGGCTTATCTCGCCCTTCTCCATCGACAACTGGTGCTCTGCAACGGCAAAGAACCGAGCACTGACTTCAGTTGACTCGGCCGTCGAATCCTTACTGTCAACAGACAAGCGACTTCGGTAATTGTTGGAGTGAGCAAAGACCATGAAGAGGATTGCCGTTCGACTCCGAGCAGACTCTTTGTAGAGCATGGCACCATGAGTGTCGTAGAGTTCTTCCAGCCATGATTCCACAGAAGGACGATGTAAAAAGCGGTGCGTGGTTGCGGCAAAGTCGAAGTATCTCTTGACCATCGACTCTGCTATGGTCTTTGGTGGCAAGATCGCGAAGGAGGAGTCATGTCCAGGTAACGGTCGATCGCCAAAGTTGAATACTGAGGAGTTGAAGTATCCGGGAGATTGAACTTGCAGCTTTCTCTGGATTCTTAACAGAAAAGAGACCCCAGACGCCGGACCCACGTAGTGGCCCTGTTCATCCGTTTGAGAAGGTTCGGGAGAGTTGCGAGCGGAAGTCTGACGTTGATGCAGCTCATGAGGCTGAGCGCTCAGGGCATCATGATGCCCAGCAGCTCGACGCTCAGAAGGAGACAAATCAAGTGCCGACCCTGAAAGCGCATTTGGAAGTGGATGAAACTGCACCTGAGTTCCGTCAGAGATTGATTCTCGGTGATTGCTGCCATCACTTCCGTTCCTCTGGTCCGAGGTCGACGGAGAGCGGCCGAGGTCTCGTGAATATTCAGAGCCAGCGGTCCCGTTGTCGACTGCTGGCAGAAGTTGGCCGCGTCGATATGTCGCCGTAAACTGACAGTCAAGCTGAAGATGAGCACAAAAGACGCAAGGCCAAGTACCCGAACACCGCGTCTTGCGCCTGAACCAAGCGGCGTTAGCCTACTCCGGCAGCCAACGTTACTCCCCCGGGATACTCACGACTTGCAGCGATCGCATGCTCTGTTGACCCGCGGCCGAATGGGATCCTCTTTCAGCCGTTTGGACGCTTGGCCATCTTCCGGCGCATCGGATACTCGACGGACGCGGGGGAATGGTGTCGTTGTCTCATCCATCGTTTCCTCGGATGTCGAGCATCGTCAACTTGACATTTCCTCGGACCAACTTGTGAGCTAGACAAATGACCTGGTGTTAGTTGCGGGGGCCGAGGAGGACCGGGGTCCGTTCCGCGGATGCGCTTATCCGTTTCGAGTACTGAACTTCCCCAGGAATGCGGAGGAGCCGATCCTTGTCCACCTCCTCTTATCCGCAAAAGCGGCGGATATTCAGGACCCCACCCCGGCTTTCGATCTGCTGATCTTCTGGAGAAGTTCCGCGACAACGGCCATTCAATGAGTCCCATCTTCGGGTGTTAAAAAGATGCGAAAGGTCTGGTGGTAAGCTCCAATTTTGAGAGACGCAAGTTCCTACCAGCCCACCTGAGCACAGCGTTGCAGACCAGCAAAGCTTAGAATCAGCATGTCTCCTCGCGGCATTATCCGAGATGTCATCATCACCCCGGTGGCATTTCATGACATGCCATTGCTTAACAGCGTTGGCGTGCATGAACCATTTGCCCTGCGCAGCATCATTGAGATAGTCACGAATGACCAAGTTTACGGGCTGGGTGAGTCCTACGGCGACTCAACGCACCTTGGTCGCTTGCAGGCGGCTGCAGATCAGATCAAGGCCAAGAATCTCACAATCTACGACACGAATGCCATCTACCAAATATGCGTCGACTCACTAAAAGGCGACACCACCACTGGCGGCGACGGCATGGCAGGCATGGTGACAACCGCCTCCGTTGCCGACAAGGTCTTTTCCCCATTTGAGGTCGCTTGCCTCGACATCCAGGGCAAGTTTTCAGGTGTGCCTGTCAGCGAACTGCTGGGCGGCCGAGTCAGAGACAATGTCCAGTACTCTGCGTACCTGTTCTACAAATGGGCGGGGCATCCTGGAGACGCAGACGATGAGTACGGCGCCGCGCTAGACCCGGAAGGCCTCGTGCGGCAGGCGAAGAAAATCATTGACGAATTCGGATTCAAGGCCATCAAACTCAAGGGCGGTGTATACCCGCCTGCCCAGGAGGTCGAGGCAGTCAAGGCCCTGCATGCAGCGTTCCCCGGGGTGCCCCTGAGGTTGGACCCGAATGCCGCCTGGACTGTTGAAACCTCCAAGTGGGTTGCCAAAGAGCTCGACGGCATCGTTGAGTACTTGGAAGACCCTGCCCCCGAGATCGAGGGTATGGCTGCTGTAGCCAAAGAGGCCTCGATGCCGCTGGCCACCAACATGGCCGTTGTGGCGTTTTCACATCTCCCACCTTCTATCCTCCAAAACGCGGTACAGGTCATTCTCTCAGATCACCACTTCTGGGGCGGCCTGCGCAAGTCCCAGACCCTGGCGGCAATCTGTGCGACCTGGGGCATGCGTCTCTCGATGCACTCCAACAGCCACTTGGGTATCTCGCTTGCGGCGATGACCCATCTGGCCTCGGCCACGCCCAACCTCGACTACGCCTGTGATACACACTGGCCCTGGAAGCCGCGCGATGAGGATGTTGTGATTGACGGCGCGTTGACTTGGTCCGATGGTGGTGTTAATGTGCCAACAGCGCCTGGTCTGGGGATCGAGCTTGATAGGGAGAGGCTGGCTAAGCTTCATCAGCAGTATCTCGACTGCGGTTTGCGGAAGCGAGATGATACTACATATATGCAGAAGTTCCAGCCGGATTTCTCCGCGAAGATACCCAAGTGGTAGCACAGGATGAGGTCATGTAACTAGCTGTTTATATTCAGAATGTTCTCAACGTGAGTGATTCTCCATAATGAAATGAAGAGTCATACTTGAATTATGCTATCCTTCTGTTGACGGACGTTGAGATCTGAAAATACTGAGTGTTGGAAAGTAGACCCCTTAATGATCTCTGTGTATGACAAGCTGGTGTCCATACTTATGACTCCTCCTCCGAAACAGTTGTTCATCTGCTCCCGATACGACGTCAAGATCTCTACATGTGACACGCTGTATGGCGTACAATCAATGATCCCATGAATCTGGCTATGCAAGCACTGTTTCTCACAGCCTTTCATATGATAGCTTATCCGCATCTATATCTCCGGACTACTCGTGGGGCGTCTGCCAACCGGGATTTACGCGGCAGTGTACACCACTTCCTCGTACCGACATGAGTCTGGGTTCGCTGCTGGGGTTCATGCGTCTCCATGTATCATCAGGAGCTACAAGCTTCGGAGGCTCTAATCCACGATCTCCTCGGATGAACTAAACCTGAAAGGAATCTCCTGGCTGACCACAAACCTGGCCGTCAGACGATTCTCCTCAATATGGATCCGCTGGGCCCCGAAGCTCATACCACTCAGGGCCCTCAACCCATGCAAGAAGCCACCCACGGGGTTTCGGCAAGTTGATTTCACGGGGGAATCTTGGAGCGAATGCGGGGGTGGAGTTCATCCTTCTTTTGTGCGGGGAAGTGGACATCAGGATGAGCCACGTCCAACCCGACTTGCACGGAGACATTGCCGAAGGGCCCAACGGTTTCGCAAGTTGATACGCTGGAATGTTGGGAGCTATAAGTTTTAGTAAATGCACCCTGATCTTGAGTTAGATTCTATGAAGGCTTGAAGTATTCCAGTCAGGGTTGGCATCCTCACTGCTCTCAACATCGTCTCTTATTCTTGAATGTCCTTCAGTGGAACATAAAGCATCACGCCTTAGACTCACACTTACACAATGACGAAACGTACAGCGGGCCATCGCGGCAACTCGACTAGATCGATCCTGATAGGTCTAGCTATCAGTCTCGCAGGGTTCGTAGAATTATCTGCAACTTGACGTCGACATAATATTGAACCAAATTACTGACTCGACATGACATCGCAGCTTCGTGTACGGCATCGATACCGGTATCATCGCATCGACCATTGCCCAAAAGACATTTAAGCTGTACATGTATGGATCCTCGCTGGACAATGCTTCTGTAAGGGCTGGCATCGTATCCGGATACTATGCCGGATACGCCTTTGGCAGTGGTGGCTCAGCCTACACCATGGACAGGATCTCTCGCCGGTGGACCCTTCTCCTGGGGGCAACTGCCAGCGTCATCGGGGCCATTCTTCAGACTGCCGCTGTGAACCCAGCCATGATGATCGTCGGCCGTGCCTTTTCTGGTTTCTCGACCGGCATGGTCTACCCCACAGCTCCCGTTTATTTGGCTGAGCTCAGTCTCCCCGAGAACCGCGGATTCCTCGTGGGCTTGAAAGGCCTGATGAATACTTTGGGCTTCTTTGCTGCAGGATGGGTTGGGTACGCCGGGTCATTCGCTGTCGGCGACCTTCAATGGCGCGTGCCACTGGCTACCCAGATTCCACCAGCCCTTTGCCTTGCCGTCATGACCATTTTCCTCCCTTACTCCCCGCGATGGTGTACGTATTCTTCGATGTAAATCCGGAATATTTCGACTAATTATGCATCTCACAGTGGCCTCCAAAGAGCGATATGACGAAGCCAAACAAGTCATGTATACCCTTCACAAGCACCGCGGCTCTGAGGTCATCGAAAGAGAGTTCGCCGAAATGTGCAGTCAAATCCAGCTGGAGTCCGAAAAGAAGAAGAACGCCATGACCAACTTCCTGAACCTATTCACCCGCAAATACATCCGTCGCACTCTCCTTGCCTGCCTCACAGTCAACATGATGAAGCTCTCCGGTTCCAACATCATCCAGAACTACCAGTCCATTATGTACAACTCTCTCGGCTACGAAGGACAGACTGTGCTCCTCATTGGAGCTCTGTACGGTTTCATGGCCGTTGTTGGCCAGATCATCAACGTCTTCTTCGTCGCCGATCACTGGACCCGGCGCGTCACGGTTATCTCTGGCAGCTACTGTCTGGTCGTACTGCTCGCAGTATTGACGGCGCTCTCGGAGCGGTTCCCAGAGGGCTCGAACCCGGCAGGCTCTCGGGCTGGAGTTGCATTCATCTTTCTCTTCGCCTTTGCCTACTCCTTCTTCTTCAACAGCGTCAACTGGGTACTGGTTGCAGAGATCTTCCCTCTTGATCTCCGTGGCGTTGGTGTCGGTTTCTCTGTCTTCACGCAGTCGATCACGGCGATTTGGCTTTCATACGCAGCATCCATCGCGTTCGACGAGATCTCGTGGAAGTTTTACTTTGTCTTCATTGCCTGTAACCTCTTCGCGGGGACCATTTACTTTTTCTTCCTGCCAGAGACTCGATTCCTGTCTCTTGAGGAGGTTGCAGCCAAGTTCGGAGACGAGATTGTGACAGCCCCCTCGAAGGACGTAGAGTTCGATGAGAAGAATGTCACATCGACTGAGAAGGTGGAGGTATCATCGGACCATGTCGAGAGCTCGCGACGATGATGGAAGATGAAGTCGCTTGACGCAATTGGGGAAGAATTTTCCTTGTACAGTCCCTTTTGGTAACATTTATTGTATGATTATCACCTTAATTCTCAAAGTTCCATTCAATACCGCTCCTCCATATATTCACGTGCGGGACCATAAACCGTGCTGTTTCGGGCACGGCTTCGCCATCAGAGCAGCGCTGGCGGCTGGACAGACTGTTCTTGGCCCCCGAAAAACTTCTCCACTGCCTTGTCTACCTCGTAATGGTACATCCAAGTAGCTTTCTTCTCGCTGGCCCTTCTAACTCTTTCCTCGATTTCATCATCAGCAGGAAGTTGTTCGGCCAATAGCTTCGAGTTGACTGTCGCAAAATTGTCTAGAACCCCGTATAGATCTCGATAATGCGGCGACCTAATCTGGTCATATAGCTTCAGAGCTACCGCCAGACCTTCTCCGTTTGTGCGCGCAAAATCCAAGCTTCGAGTAAGAGCCCACACATCCTCCAGAGCGAAGCCCGCTCCTGCGCCAAAAGCTCCGGACAGCGGATGGGACGCATCTCCGATAAGGGCGATGGCGTCGTGCGAAATCACGGTTTCGAGTCGCGCACCCGAGAACAGCGCAAACTCTTCCGTCTTTCCCTGTGCTGCGAGCTGAATGACCTTGCGAACTGGCTCGCAGAACTCATCATACTCGGAGGCGATGCTTGAGAAGTCAAAAGGTCGACCCCAGCTGACGTGCTCCTGGCCCTCAGTAGGTCGGCGGATGCGAGCAGTTACTTCAAAATCGTCTCCACCCAGGGGGCAGGTGAAGACGTATTTGCCGCCAACATTCTGCCAGAAAACGGGTGATCTCGGAATACCCTCGATGTTGAGGGCGGCAGATTTAGAGATGATGGTTCGGTAAGCGGATTGTCCGTTATACTTGATCTTATGGTCGGGAAATGCAAACGAGCGCACAAACTTTTTTGCCATTAGCAGACTGGTGGAGGATGATACTTTGCTGGATAGTTGAACTTACAGATCTGATGCCATCTGCGCCGACAAGCAAATCCACTTCATCGGTGAAGCCATCGGCGAAATCAATCCGAATTTTCCCATTTTGCAATTTCTCGATATTGGTCAACTTCTTTGACACCCTGATCCGAGACTTGTCGACCTCTTGGAGGAGTGCTGCTTGAAGTTTGGCCCGGACCAGCCTGCAGCTACGTTGTTGCAGAGGCACGTCTGCTGAGTGACTGCTCTGCTCCAAAAGTTTGCCTGTTCTTCCGTTCCTGGTGACGGTCAGCTAATAGTTACGCGGCGCATCACCTTTCGGGCTTGGTACCTTGTTTGTCCGCTGATTCCATCCTCAGCCCTAAAGAAGTCGTTTGGGTCTACATTCTTGGCAGCCCCGATCAACGACAGCAATCGCCAAGTATGGCGCTGTAGACTGATACCACCACCAGTCTCACTTATCTCAGGCTTCTTCTCGTAAAGAGTCCAATCAACGTAATTGAGTTTTCCAAACTCGATTGCAGCGCCTAAGCCGCCTGGTCCACCGCCAATAATGGCGACCTTGAGAGGAGGAATGCTTCCCATGATAATGATGGTTCACGATGAGCAGGAATTTGAGACCACAGCCGTGATGGAAATGATTAAATTAGTCGCTTAGAGGTTTACGACAACAATCATCAAGTTCATCCACCATGTGATGAAATCGAAAGCGGCTTGCGCGGCATTTTATGCTCTCATATCGCAGGCCAATGAGTGCTGCTTATCAGGCCATTTGACAGTATTGCGCAATATTCGGAGCTTATTGTCAATTCGGCCGACGCCGATAAAGGACCTCCCCCCCACGAAAATGAGATGTTTTGGAACCACCAGCATCAGTGGGTCATTGAATGTTAAAAGATTGTAATTTGCTGACATATCAACGGTTGGAACCTGACAAACTTAAGAAAGCCTCTTCGCTTGTAGTCTGGGGGTGTGAGGAAAGAGCGTGACATGCTAGGTGAAGTATTTCTTGTCGCTGAACCTGACATAACCTCCATCAATGTCGCAAGAAATTCTGAATAGCAACCAAAGCCTTCAAAGAACAGAAAATCTCAATGAATGTACGAAGAGAAAGGCGAAGTAATCGATAAGATGGTTGCAAGTTTACAGAGCAAAATAATACAGGGCATTCCTTGCATGTTCATCATGGTCTTGCAGCCTAGAGCCCATCGTCAATACGATAGTATTCGTTCCATCGCTGGACAATGTTGGTTAGTATGACAAGCGAAACTAGCAACTTGGTGGATGATTGTCTCACCTTATCCCACGGCCGAGACCAGTCCACAAAGCGTAGATCGGTTCCAAGTCTGATCCTACCTTTTGGATCATAGTTGATAGTCGATGCATGAATCTCAAGAGAAAAAACGTCAATCAGTTGGTGCATGGACTGCGGCAGATAGGGCGGAGGTGCATACCATATGAGGTGTATGAAAGACAACGTCGCCGGCCTCGTACTCTGTAACAAGCCATTTTTTGCCATACTTGCGACCGAAGTCTGCAGCACCGTTGCACAACCACCCAGTGCTCATCATGTTTGCATTATATGCGTGCCGTACCTCTTCATCGTTCATCCCTGCAGCCTTTGCCTTTCGTTCGAAGTCTTGTTCTATCTCGGCACCAAGTGCCTCCCCTAGAGATTTATAGTGTTACTTGAAGTCGTACTGAAGCTTCGCCGTGATGATGAAGAAGGCAACATACCATCTTCGAGATAGATCAGACCACCACCCTCCAGGCTGACATCACCAATGGGCACCCACGCTGTCACTGCAGTAGGCTCACCGTAGCGCATAAATGACTGATCATAGTGTACGCCGATAGCCTTGTTTCCAGGAGTGTTGTTCCTCAGCAAGGTTCTTTTAACAGGAAGGGTGTTATCGCCCCAACCCGTAAAATGAGCAACGAAGGCCTTGAGGTCAGGATGGTTGCAGAACCCAGGGACCCCGCCATCAGTTGAGCCACAGTACCACTCGTCGGTGTGGGCTTTTAGTGCAGCATTCATGAACATCCCGCGTTTGTCCTGACTCCCAGGGGCAGTGGCCGTGGTCCGCTTGGCTCCAGCACCGATCCCAGGGTAGTTCGAGGGGTTCCCTTTCGGATCGAAGATGCCTTCCTTGGGTGTCGTGCCTGGCTTCAAGATACCGCTTGGAGATAGCGATGCAAAGTATGATTCTCGGGCGGCCAGGACGTCTTGTCGAGGCAGGAGACCCTTGACAAGGAGGTAGCCTCTGGTATGGTATCGATCGCGAAGGACTTCGACGGGTTCATCGGGAAAGGAGGGCTCGAGGATTCCGACTTCAGCAGGGGCGAGGAGGTCATCATTGACAAAGAGGAACTTGCCGTCGATAGATGGCGGGACAGAAGGGGGTTGCAGAGACATAATGATCAGGCTTTGATGGAATCGATGGATCCGAAGAGACTAATGATGAAATGATTCAAATGGTTTGCAGCAGCTGCCGGAGCAACGCGAGAGATAGATGCGTTTCATGTTGGAATGGTGGGGGAATGGTCCTGGAGAAACTGTTCAACCCGCTATCTTCTGGTCAGCGGGTAGGTCAGCTGTTTTCAGGGTTGAGAACTTTGGACTTGTCTGTGTTATCAACAGTATTGAAGAGCCAAGTACTTCGGTACAGAGAGGCGAGAGAAGCCCCCGATTCCTCGCATTTCTCTAACTTTTGATTCGGCCATTCAATGCTGGACTAACCGTTTCTGGTGGATTGCTCCATTCCTTCCTGTCAGCTGCGAATCAGATCCCCACATCGTCTCCGTTAGCTGCGACTTGTGCAGGGGTCGAGTGGGTAATTGTCCCCGACCAGGCGTCCAGCTACGTTGTGGTGAACGAGGAACGAGCTCGTTTGAACAAGCCAGAGCTGATATCACAGTCTTTTTTGAACGAATGAAATCTGCGATGGAATTAAATCCCAAGCCAGTCTCATCTCAGCCTAGCGTGCCGGAGTAACGCTGGGGCACTGTCGTCACACGAAGTCGGTCTTCTCTTCAACATGACAAAGCGAATTGCCCAGTCGTACACGCTGATGGTGACATCTACCTTAAGATATTGCAGTATCTCGGTATAACGTGCCTAGGAAACTCAGATGTTATGTTGTGCTGTTTCCACGCCTAACAACTAAACACCCAACGCTAAGGTCTGAGGTCACCGGCAGTGTAGTACTGGCCCTTTCCTGTATACATCCACTCTGTCACGTAGATGTCACCTCCTGAAGGGCATTCTAGTCCCGTTCCAGCTCCATTGCAGGTTGCATAGACGCCAAGAAGAGTCCCTGTGAATGGGCCACTTTGACCGCTGACCAGCTTCGCTGACATGGTAGCCATCATGATCTTGTTTTCGGGCTCTGCAGCTGAGCATGCGGCGAAGGTATAGTGCGTTGCATTTGGCGTAGAAATCTCGAATTGAATAAGATTTTCATCCCATGTTTCGGGAATCTTCTCGAGGCGTTCTTCAGGGGCATCGTTTCCTGTAGCCCTGAAACGCAACAGGCGATCAGTGCCTTCGGCGCCGTCGGCCTTGGGTTGTGCCACGATGGCGACATCGGCGTGATTATACTGCGTAAGGAACAGAGTGATTCCTGCCTCTATATCAGATTCAGAGAGGGATACATTCAGCGTCACGTTGAAGTTGAACAAAGAATCTGTTTGTGGTCGGCCGATAAAGGAGAGTCCAGATCGGCCATCGAGCTCGGCGTTGTCGCCCGTGAGGTTTCCTCGGCTAGGCACTATATGCATGCCTTTCGAGTCAACAATCTCAAATGCCCCTTGCAGTGGGACCCTCCAATGAATCAGGTTTCGCGGTATCTCGTTCAATGTCGTGAAGTGATATATGTCGGGATCAGAGTTGAACGGGCCTTCGCCAGGGAGGTCGCGGCTAGATGGGGGCATCTGCCAGCCCGACATCTTGCCTCTGACTGGCTCCAAAATTGGCCATTCACCCTGCTCCCAAGTCACTGGAAACAGGACCGTTTCTCGTCCCATGGGATAGATGGACCACTCTGGCCCTGAACGCGTGGACAACGCGACACCCCACCAATTATCATTGGTGTCTTGAAACAGGTCTGCGTGGCCAACGGTCTTATGTTTCTCAGTCAGGCAAAGATTCGCGAAGGTTCCCACTTCCACATACCTGGAAGTACTCATCTGTACCCTTGTTCGAGAGCACTGGATTGTTGGGGCATGGTGTATATGGACCAGTAAGATTAGCAGATCTCGCCATCACTTGATAGTGACCAGTCTCGGTCCCCCCTTCAGCCATTGACAAGTAGTAGAATCCGTCTTTGCGGTAGATATGCGGACCTTCTGGCCATACACCTCCGGTTCCCGACCAAAGGAAAGTGTTGTTCAAGACTGTGCCACTTTCAAGGTCGACATCAAGAAGCACAGTGCCTTGGCCTCCACCTGGGATGTATAGCTTGCCGTCGTCGTCCCAGAAAAGATCTAGATCTCCGGCCGGCGTCGAAAATGTGATGGGATTCTCCCAGGCCGCGTTGTCGTACAGATCATTTGTCTTGAAGATTGTCCCCAACATCACGTCAGGCAAGCCAAGGTATTCACATATGACCCAAAACTGTCCATCGCGGTGCCTGATAGTAGCCGCATAGAACCCTTCTTGTTGGCCTTGAAATACGCCAATGTCAATATACCTGATTGAGAAACAATGTAGCGACATATCACAGCGAGACATACCTTTTGTCTGTTGACTTGTACCGGGCATTTGCGCTTCTCGGTTCCACGCGTGGCTGATTAGCTTCCAGTTCGTCAAGTCCTTCGATGCGTAGATTGGAAGGCCCGGGAAAGTGATGAAGCTGGAAGTAATGCAGTAGAATATTCCATCGACCTGCACACAGGAGGGATCAGAATGCCAACCAGGCAAGACAGGGTTGTAGAACGTCGAGTTTTCTGCTTGTGCGGAGGAGATCCCATTGCAAACGAGCCAACCTGTGAGCAGGTACTTGAGAACAGGGAGAATCATGATGGAAAGCCGGTCGAACTCAACGTAGTTTCTAGGATCTTATACAGTCAGTTCCTGCTGCTGCATAGGGGCCGTATCATGCTTTAAGTACTTTAATATTGACATATGCCTTCTTGGACGGTCAGGACTCCCTACGTCGTGATCATCATCCACATCCTGGTGTTGTATGGGAAGCTTCTGCCGTTTGATTCCGGCTAAAATGAAAACTTCAGGCGGAAATATATCCCGCGAGAAACAACATTCTCAACAAATGTTGGGAATGGCATTCACTCCTGGCGTCGGTATTGAGAAGAGAAAGGTGCATTGGCGGCAAGTAATTACAAAAGGTGACCGGTGGTTGGCGCTGTGCCGCACCAATCCCGCGTAACCGTATCTCGCTCAATTCCACCCCGATTGATCGTATCCCGCAGGATGCCTTCTTTTCAGATCCAGGAGTGCGGGGAAGACAAGATCGACCAGGGTCTGATATGCTCATTTCGACATCTCCAGATTTACCCGTGAACGGAGAAGGCTCTGTGACGCTCTTCTTGAATTTTGCGGCCAGTCCCGTGAGGCTCGCAGAGGGAATCGAGCCATGAGCTCCAACTTTGCAATTGTCGCCAATGAGGAAGATCACCCAATGCATCGTCATGGTCAGCATCCGGACAAATGAGAGGGGAGCGTTTCTAACTCTTGGCAATCCAGTTTACCCAGGCACCTAAGTAGGTGCACTTACAGTACCTGGCGCTGTCTATGGATACAACACATAGGACTCCACGTTAGTTTTTGCCTAATTGGTCGAAATTTGCTTCAGCCAGAGGGCTTCGCTTGGGGTGCGACAGATTGTCATGAGATGGACTTCTCGTCGAGTGTCAACTCGGCCACTGCGATTTCAATGGGAAATATCACAGCAGCTCAGCCAAGTATAAAAAGGACAGCCGGCCGGTCATTCTCAGAGGATTATTAACCACACATCATCAGCAATCTAAAACTCCACCGCTTTCAGCATGCAGTTCAGAGCTTCCATCATCTTCTTTCTCGCAATGTTAGGCTTCGGCCGCATTGGGCTCGCTTTGGTCATGAGACAGGATAACACGTTTACGAATCCAATCCTATGGGCAGATCTTGCCGACCCGGAAGTTTTCCGAGTCAACGACACATACTAATATAGCGCCTCGACGATGCACTACTCTCCTGGCGCACCCTTGCTGAGATCCTACGACTTGGTCAACTGGGAGTTCGTATCTCATTCTGTTCCCGAGCTCCCAGGATCCCAATTCTCTCTCAACGGAACTGATCACGCAGCTTACGTCAAGGGAGTCTGGGCATCCTCCCTTGGGTATCGCCAGAGCAACGGTGTTTTCTACTGGTACGGCTGCATACAGGGAGAGGGCAAGACTCACATCTTCACTGCATCGAGCCCAGAAGGACCTTGGACACATCACGAACCGATCCCCACTTGCTACTATGATCTGGGGCTGCTGATAGACACCGATGACACCATGTACATCGCGTATGGAGCGGTAGACATCCATGTTGCTCAGTTGTCTCCCGATGGATTTTCGGAAGTTCGAAGCGAGGTACGCGGTCACTAATTCGAATTGCTGATCTTTAACAAACTGGCTGACAATTTCTGCAGGTGGTCTACACCGAGGATGCTCACAGGTACATCGAAGGATCGCGTTTTTACCATATTGATGGCAACTATTACATCTGGATTACCAAGCCAGGAGATGAACAACATGTGCTCAAGTCGACATCCGGTCCATGGGGTCCCTACGAGATCAAGGAGGTCATTGCTCAAATGAAAGCCCCCGTCGAAGGAGCCGGTGCTCCCCACCAAGGAGGTCTGATCTCCACAGAGAACGGTGACTGGCTTTACATGGCATTCATCGATGTGTATCCAGGTGGTAGCATACCAGTTCTTGCCCCCATCGAATGGGATGCCGAGGGCTGGCCGCAAGTAGTGACAGATGCAGATGGTGGCTGGGGTGTCAACTACCCTGCACCTATTCAGACTACAAAGACCGTCGAAGGAAGCGGTGCCTATGTGGACAAGTTTGAGGGAGACATACTGGGACCTCGTTGGGAGTGGAATCATAATCCAGATAACGACGCATGGAGCTTGAGCCCTGATGGACTGGTTCTGAACACAGCGACGGTTTGTGAGGGGCTGTACGGAGCCTCAAACACCCTCACGCAACGAATTCTCGGGCCGAAGAGCCAAGGAACCTTTCGCCTTGACATTTCTGGAATGATTGACGGGGACCAAGCTGGTGTCACGGCACTGCGACAAGATAGCGCGTACATCGGGATCCACAAGACCGATGGGGTGGCGCAACTTGTCTATGTTGATGGCATCAGCATGGATTCAGAGCAAGATTGGTTGACCACCTCCAATGGCTACGTCAAGGCAGAGGGTCCTGTGATCGAAGGTGCAGACCTGTGGCTACGGATCAAAGCCGACATTACGCCCTCAGTTTTGGGAGACTCAAGCAACATTCCGCGATATGCTTCTTTCTGGTACAGCGTTGATGGGCAAAACTTTGAACCGCTTGGGCCAGAGTATGCTCTCAACCCTGAGTGGTACTTCTTCATGGGTTACCGTTTTGGCGTCTTCAATTGGGCCAAGAAGAATTTGGGTGGAAGTCTATTGGTGAAGGAGTTTGCGCTGGAGATGTTGGATTAGTGCTTCAGGGTAAGCTCCAGTTCGCATCGAGGCGCTGTATCAACTCACATCGCTTGTTATACCTGCCTCTTGCAGAAAGACTGAAAGGAGGAAATTTAAGGCACTAATTCTTGAGTGCGGGTAGAAATCATAGAACGAAGTTGAACTATATACAATCTCTATTCGGCAACGTCTACTTCTAAACATGATGATATGACGATCTATCATTGCTCAGAGTCTTGGGGATAAATCGTTCCTCCCTGTCGCCTAATCTCGTCCATGATTTCCATAACACGTATGGTCTCTGACCAAGGCATGACCGAACTTTCAAGCTTTCCGGATAAAACGTCCAACGCAGCGTTATCGGCTTCCCAATAGTAGCCACGTCCAACTGGCTTGTAGTCGTGCGTCTTTGCAATATCTCTCTTCACGATGCCTGCATTCTGGTCCCTCCAGAACTTTTCGTAGACAGTGAAAGACTCAGGATCGGAAGGAACCGTTCCATGGACTTCAACAGTGCCATTGGTTCCCTGGATTCTGGCTATGACATCCGGATTGCCTGTTGCCATTGTTGTGGATGTGATCACGCCTTGCCTTCCTGTTGACGGGTACTGAAGGATCACGCTGGTCGTCACTTCAACCTCGCCCCAATGTGTTTGAGCGGCGAGAATCTTGGGCGTCTCTGAAGTGGCTGGGGTTCCTGCATCCAAACCAAGAATAGCCCAGGTCAAGGTGTAAATTCCAAGATCAAGCAGTGAGCCAGCACCGAGACGAGGTTGCTTGTATCTGGATCCGTCTGGTAGATTGGGGATGTCCATCTCCAAGCCGAACTCGGAGTACACCCTAAACACATCGCCAATGATCTTCTCCTTATGCAACATACGCTGCAGATCCTGAACAAGCGGACGGTGGCGGAGCCACATTGCTTCAGCAACATAAACGCCCTTCTCTTTGGCAAAGGCGAACACTTCCTTCGCATCTCGGGCATTCAAGGTGAAGGCCTTCTCGCAAAGGACGGGCTTTCCCGCCGCAATCGCATCCAGGCAGTTTTGTTTGTGAAAGGCATGTGGGGTTCCGATGTAGAGAATATCCACGTTCGGATCCGCGTAGACTTCGTTGTAAGACCCGTAGATAGTGGGGTTACTTGAGGGGCAATACTGCTTCGCAAAGTCATTTCCCTTCTCGACAGAGGAGCTGCCAATTGCTTGCACAATATGCTTGACCTTCGCATCTGGTCGGGAGATCAAAAGATCCTCCACAAACCATGACGAGATCATCCCCGTCGCTGTGACCTTTTAGCTAGTCTGTCAAACAACGCAAGCTTGGCGCCATGCGGGGACGGGGGAAGATCTCACCAACAATTCCCCAACGAATCGCTGGTAATTCCGACATTGTGATGTGATTGGCTAAGACGAAGAACGTCAGACTGTACTAGTACGAGGTCGCGTGAGAGAGAAATGCACCTTGTTCAAATAATCCAGAATAATTCGGCGGATGAGGACTCAGCCAGTTCCACGGAATTCAATGACCGAAGACCCATCTTATATAGTCTCCGTAGACTGAGGTGGCCGCCCCGGCCCTGCTGACGTCGGTGTTCGGAATGTCCCCCGCAATGACGGTCGGCGATTCGACAATCGAGGTATTACAAAATGGGAGCATTTTCGCCGGTTCTCCCTGCATTCGTCTGAAATAGTAATGAATCCCGCGGGTTATTGCAGACACCCAACGGGACTTTGGTCGTGGTCATAAAAGACTTCTCGTGCACTCTTTAAGCGAGGCGTCGACAGCTTTGCTCTTTCATCGATTCAGCATTCTCACGCACACGTCATTCATTAAACGACTTGCTGCACCAGAAGCTGACCACCCTCATCTAACTCTCAAAAAAAACGAGCTCCGACGATGGCCTCCCAACACAAGATCCTCAACGTCGGAGTCGTTGGCATTGGTCGCATGGGTCAACGTCATGCCATGAACCTTTTGCGACTAGTCCCACGAGCTAAGCTTCTCTGCGCTTGCTCCCCTGCAAAAGCTGATCTCGATTGGGCTGCTGTCAATCTCGAGCCTCACGGAGTGAAGGTGTACAGCACTTTCGAAGAAATGATTGAGACCCCTGGACTCGAGGCTGTAATCATTTCATCTATCACAGCGCTTCACATGCCCCAGACCATTGCGGCATTTAAGAAAGGCATCCATGTTCTGTGCGAAAAGCCAATCTGCAACTCTGTCCCAGAGGTAAATCTTTCACCGTCTGCATCAGATGAACCACAAATGCTAATTCCGATGAAGCTTGAGGACTTGTGTCGGCTTGTTGAATCCAAGCCCGAAACAAAAGTAATGGTTGCATTCTCCCGTCGCTTCGACGACAGTTATCAGGATGCCCTTTCCAAGATCAAGGAAGGAACAATCGGAAGGCCATTCGTCTTCAGATCCCATGGCATTGAGAAAGGGGACCAGAGTCCGTTCTTCATTCAGTATCTTGCCAACTCCGGCGGCATCTACTACGACACTGCAATTCACGACATCGACTTGTCGCTGATGTTCCTTGGCGAGGACTCAGTGCCGAAGTCTGTGTCAGCTATCGGTACAGCCGACATCTTCCCAGGTCTCAAAAAGACTGGAGATGCCGACAACGCCATTGGGCTGTGCGAGTATTGGGATGGGAAGATCGCCCATTTTTACCATTCAAGGAGTTCTGCCGTCGGATACGACAATGTCACAGAGATATTTGGCACCGAGGGCAAGTTGACGGTCAACGCGACCCCAAGGAAGAATCGTGTGGAGATCGCTGCGAGTGATGGATTTGTCAAAGTCGAGCCGACGCCTTCATGGTATGACAGGTACATCTCGGCTTTTGTGGTGGAGGCAAACGCATTTGTGGACGCAGTTCTTGACGGGAAGGACATGCCTATCCCGCTAAGATCAGCCGTTACGTCTTTGCGGATAGCTGCGGGCCTGCAAGAGAGTCTACGGACGGGACAGAAAATATACTTCAATCGCCAGGGCATTGCTACAGGACCTACTCCGCAACTGTAGAGGTCTCAAATAGAATAGAAATGGGCCATATACATGCGAAACTACCATCTAATGTCGGATGGAAACTTCTTTCAATTTAATTGGAAGTTCGACTAGCTTCTGACTACCTAATTGATGAGAATGAGGTGATGCACCGGTAAGGTTTCACTCGCTATCATTGACACTGAATGTTACATCGATTTGACGATTTGTATTCCAGACTACCTAAGTGACCAATACAAATGGTGGCTCATTTCCTGACCACATATCCTCTGCTTTCTTGACTCTGCCAGATTTGCGACGTGTATCGTAGTACAAGTCTGCGATACTCAAGGCCGAGGAGGCAAGATTGTCTCGAAAAGCTGTAAGTGTACAAAGGATTAGTCCAAACGTCCACGTCAAAGAGATCATCCGGTCTGCAGGTGGATGCGAGAAGTCAGCTCTACGTACCCAGAGGTTAAGCTCCCTCTTGTTCTTTCGAAGCTCGTAGTACTTCTGATCAAGTTTATCTGATACTTCTTAGTGCATTTTCAACATGAGAACCCAGAGGGAAAACTAACCAGAGGTAACGTGAAGAAGGTCCTTGTATTTCTTCTCCTTGCTGATGTTCTGAAGGCCGTCGAGGAACAGCGCAGCCTTGGCGTCATCTCCAACCTGGTTGACGAGAAATCTGACAACTAGCAAGTATGTCAGTAACCTGTCATGCAATAACCCAAATAGGACTCGACTCACAGTCGGGGGAATAATATGCAGCAGAGCATTTCTGGCTGCAGGTAGAAATTCCATTCGCAAAGGTGTTCTGGTCTTCTTCGTTCGGTTCGCCGTCCGTGATAGTGATAATGAGAGGTGGTCGCTTAAAGTCCTCCTCCTTGTCGAGGACATCGTATACAAACGGCTTGAGGATCTTTTCGTTGAGACCTGTGCCGAGCTTGGTGGATCCACTGGGCTTGAAGTTGAACTTGGCGCGGATATCGCTGCCCCGGACATTGTCGAGACCCCCATCATTCCTGTTCAGGAAGCGAATGTGCACACCCATGTTCTCAGGCGCAAACGAGTTCATGAGCACGCCAATGTCGTCAACAAGATCGGTCTGGGCGGTCCATCGATTTCCCTCCATGGATCCACTGTCATCTGTTCGCAACATCTTCATCAGCGAATACTCATCAGGTTACCTCTTACGTCAAGAAAGCCTACCGCAGTAAAGAATCGGCTGGTACAAGGCACAGCGCAGCTTCTCGTTGAACTCGCCCGGATCCTCGGTCTTCGTGCCGGCATCTTTTTGTCTCTCCCATGCTTCGTCCGCAATGTCATCGATCAACGGATGGTCCGGTGGGTATGTGTCGTCGAGACCCATATCTTTGATGATCTTCCTGATTGAGTCTACACAGTCCTGGTAGGAGCTTGGCAACTGTGGCTTCTTCAACAAACGTTAGTCCATTCGTCAGAGCAAGCTGGAAGGTGCATATGCGCTCACCTGAGGCTTGTCCCCAGGATTGGTTCTACCAATTTCATTGTTGATCTGCTTGAAGGCTGCAGCAAGAGCATCCTTGAGGGTCTTCCAGGGCTTGCAGTATGCGAACAGCAAAAGGACCGCGGAGATGATGAATTTGGCCAGCGCAGGTCCGATTGAGCCCTGGTTCTCCGGATCCTCAAGAGGCGCGCCGATCGAAGGGCTAATGAGGCCGTTGGCAATGTCTTTGGCCGTTTCTCCGTTGCTGTTCTTGACAGTTTCCGAAGCTCCCGCTTTCTTCAAAGCATCAATGATCCGAGGGTCTGCCTGGTTTCGGAGTGCCGTCATGAGCGGGGTGTCGTTGGGTCTACGCCCCTCTCGCGCGTTTCTGTCAACGGACTCGTCCTTGAGAATGATCTTGACAACTTCAAAGGCATTCTCCTTAGCAGTGACGGCCATATGAAGGAGAGACTGGTCTTTGTATCGTGCTCTGGGGTCCGCCTTGCTGCCGATAAGGCGCCGGATGTTGGTGAGGTTGCCCAACATGACTGCCCAGGCAAGTGCGCTGTAACCATCCGGGGCATCGTCGATTTGAAAAGAAGGGTCGCTGCGGGCCTTCCGCAGGTCACCACGGGTTATTTCCTCATTCCGCTTCACCCTCTCATGGATGCTGCCTCCGATGGACATGATGGGCAGCGGAATTGATGGATAGGAAGAAATGGCGGATATGTCGATATATCTGATATGGTCATGGAAACTTCCAATCTCGTTGCCACAATGCTTTTACAGCTCTGGGTAAGGCTTCTGACTTTATATTTGCGATCAGTGTTGCACTGCGTCTACCCATCGCCCATGGATTTCCACCGCAACAAGCGATACACAAGTGAACCAAACAGATGATTCCACAGGTTCAGCTTGCTCGGAATCTATTCCGAATCAAATGCCCCAACTCCATTGGACTTACTGTGAACGAGCATGGAATCACGTAACGTACTTTCGTAAATAGTATGCGGACTGTTCATAGTCTCATCCATGTCTTTACCGGTCATAGCTTTCAGATCTGAGACAAGATCTACTGCAGGTAAGCATTGAGAGGCCCAAGGAACAGCAATTTACCGAAAAGAGTATCAAGAATCTCCCACTCCGTGCCATCCATTCCTAATGCAAAGATAGGGTACTATCGTGCGGCCTTTTCATGCGTCTCGGGACGTAGGCAAAACCGCGGCTGAGACAGCTTTCAGCCAGGTTCCAGAGATCTTATGTCTAGCTATATGATAATGACGCCACGGAAACCTATCTCTACTACAATTCGTGCCCATTAGCGGTATTCGAAAACGTCCGGGTGGGACTCTAGAGAAAGGCTAAAGAGGGAACAAGATGCACTTGTTCTGGAAGCGAGACAGTAAATCTCATGGAAGCGTCATCCTAATCAACACCTTTCCAAGGGCGGTTAAGACATCGGAAAACTTACTATGCGTCTCAAAGCGCGGGGAGGTCGGGCATGGGTTTACCTTGTGGCCGCTTTAAACTGTGTTGCTGAGAGCTTTCCTGGCGCACACAAGTACCCCGAGGATAACTTGGCAGCGGGGAAGTGAGACTAGCGGCTGTTGCGCTCAAACGACTCGGACCGCGCCGAAGGTGGTACTATGCCGTTTTTCCCGAGGTGGTGGGAGCACCCATGACATCACAATGAGAGACATTATCTCGGACAAACGAATATTGTGCCCGGGGTTTTGAGATCAGCTAGAAAGAGAATCCGCAAGCAGACGATTGCATGAAGTTCAGGCTATTATGGCCTCAAAGTGCCTCCGTCGCTGTTCATTCATAGCTTGGAGGCTAGCTAGACATTCAAACACCGTTCTTTAAGTAAGATATACCAACGCCAGATACTGTCACGAGCAATATGTGACATTTGATTCCATTTTTTTCCAAGACAGTAGTACCATCCCCAACGGCCGTAGCTAGGTCTGGCAGTTGTGTCTCAGATGATCTCAGTCCGAAGGTGGTGATTACGGAAACGGCAAGACACATGAATTAATGAACCACATACCTGCAAAATCCCCCGTTTTCTTCGAAAATGAGCACCGTTTCTACATTGAGTTACGGAGTTTCCCAAACGCGAAAAACGGTGTGTCTTGCGGGGCAAGGCACCACTTACAACCCTTTCACATTTTTGATAATTCGTTTCTGTCGAATACTTAAAATTCTACGTTAATTTGAAGTCTGGTATTCGTGATTCGCAATCTCTACTGGGCTTCCAACGATGGTCCTGCAGAAACCATGTTACAAGCGAGACATTGGGCAGGAAGTAATTTGTTTCTGGCAGAGCTATTTCTTTTATTTCGCCACTTGCTCTTCAACTGCATTCAACTTCAGGTATGGATTCAGTTGCCTGGTTCCCAGCTCGTCTCTGTATCATAATCATCACCCCACTCAGAATCTGAACCGAGTGTGGAGACCGGATAGTGACTGTAGTATGCCTCACTACCACCCCTGTTACTAAGCTTTCTATCCACCATGTGTAAATGATGCCTGTCATGATTTTCTTGATCATCCTCTGTCCAGATATCATTCCAGTTCTCCCACGGTCTGCTATTATGTTGATGCCGCGCATGGTTGGTGAAGTAAGTCAACTGGGAGGCGCGAAAAAGCTCCAGGTCGGGGCACTGTGTCCGCAGAAAGACAAAGACTTTGTCCCAGTTACCACCGTCTCCGTACACCTTGATGTCCTCAAGAGAAATCCGCCGGGCTACAGGTGGCAGCTTGGTTTCATTTGCGGGTGCGACTGCCAAGAGCTTCAAGATCGACTGTACGTTCGTCCAGATACGGTGAAGTGCGAGGTCTACCAAACCCCTATATCCAGGTTGTGGGCTCCATCGGAGTCGATCAAGTTCAAGATAGTGTGACGCGATGATGGCCAGTGATTCAAGCCTTTGGCAGGATCCAACGAATGCCCAAAGGGCATCCTGATGCTCTCTGTTGGGATACTCAACTTGAATGTTGCTTGGAGCATAACCGGTTCCAGCAATGTCCGTGAAGTCTCCGTCGTTGTAGTCATCGCCATCGGATATCATCTGCCAGTCGCTCCCACCTGGCCCCGTTTCATCGACAATGACTAAGCGGAGTTTCCGCAGTTGATTGCGGGCATCTTGAGATAGCGCGTTTGTAATTTCTCCAACATACCATGTGCTGGGAATCAACAGACTGAGGTCCGTGAGGTGATTGAGTGCCGTAGCTCTCAGTCCATATTGAATGGTCATGACGAATTCGTTCATTCCCTCCATATCATAGCAATTGGCCCGCAAGTTCTCTCGACTGTAAGCGCCCATAACGCTTGCGGTGAATTGCTCGACACGATTGAGTGAGTCGAAAAGACGGCGGATCACGGTATGTTCATCCGTTTTGTCATAATGCAACTGCGGGTCTGCTCGCAATCCACGTTTGCCATAAGAGCTGGGAGAATCAACATAGCTAGAGTTTAGGACAATGTAGTTTGGGTCCACATCTTGGCCTACAAACCTATACACATTCTCTCGGGTCAGCTATTGTCTCCACAAGACTGTATCAAACTCGGGTTAAACAAGCTTAATGGAGAGGATGGCCGCCTTACTCTTGCCAATCAAAGGAGTAGAGTCGCGAGAAAGAATTCAAGTCGTGCATGTCCTCAAGGTTCAGACTTCTCACGCAACTGCTCAGACTAGCATTTTGATCGCCACAACAGGCTGCAATACGTTTGATCAGGTCGGGGTCATCAAGACGAATGTGCCACCAAAGATGCCTCCGAAAGAGCCTGTTAGCAGAGCGATTCCACTGGCGGGATACAAGGCGCAAATTTGACAAGGCCTGAAGGTCTAGATCCGTACGAAAGAAGGTCGATTCGTACGGCTCGTTCTCCCCACCGTAGAATACCGCTGTGGAGTCCCGGCCGCCCGTGAAGTTAACCCACTCATCGAGGTCACGGACCTCATGAAAGGTCTGGACTCTGGCTACTGAAACATATTGGTCGACGATCTATGGCAGTTAGCAGCTTCTCATTTTCATTCAGCCGGGAGCTGGTGCCTACTTGGTCGATGATCTCTGGGGGAAGAGGCATTTTTGCGATGGTTTCTTACCAAGTTGGGAGACAGGATAAGCAGCGAAGGGTGATTTCAATTGGCGAGCCGCTGCTTCCAAGGCCCGAGCGCATCGAACCTAGTGCGGCACGGTGGCTGCAGGCAACAGCCACAGAGTCCGTCGGTGGCTGTAAGCCACAGCCACAGCGTCCATTGAGTGTGCGTGTCTGGGAATTCCTTCAGCGGAAGACGACGTTATCCAGTGATGGCTTGCTATGCAATGGCTTCGTGTTCCCAAGGTTTTCGTCCATGTCGCCTATGATCCCTACTAGCCGACTAAAATTTCGCAAAGTTTCTGTTGCATTTTAGGCGCGGCAAAGAGGGTTGCAATCGGTTGTAATCAAGAACGGGAGACACAGGACGATTGAAATAAATCTCTCTCGTCGCTCTGATGGAAATATCGCAAAGCTTCAAACGGTGGAATAACATAAAAATCTCTCTGTTCGATGCAAGTGTTCCAGATTGCAGGAAGGTTCCTTGGTTTTTCAAATAATCGTTCCTAGTAAACCCACGACTTTGGACGGTGTTTGAGACATGACGTCGCCGCGATCCGGGCTCGATTGGGGCCACACAGTCCGATGTGAAGTCGTACAACGCCGAATTGCTTCTGGACGGGAGATGCGGCTCGATCGTGGAACTTTTCTTTACTTTAAATAGCCTGTCTACGATATCAATGGCACTATTATCTCTCGCTTACCTTCATGAATGCCGACGTGAACCCAATTCCGCAGGCACGTTCGCTAGACCCCTGTCCTGGGGTATCCTCGTCTCAACTCGCATAATTTTTGTCGGATGATAGACCAGGACCAGGTATTCACACGATGCATGATCGACGGCTCAGAAGTGACATCGATCCGAGACACACGGTTGTCAACGTCTCACGGCTTGACTGTTCCGAACAAAAAATGAGTATCAAGTACCGAGCCTCTTTAGTCGCCCACATCCCCGGATTCCCCCAGAATGTTGGTTGCTTAGCTGTTGTATTTCATGGCGTTCTTTCAAAACTTGGGCGAGTAACTTGCTGTCGTTTTGGAAAGTTGACCGCGACACTAAACACTGTCTTCAGACCGTCGTGTCCAAGAGTCCGCCACGCCCAATAGCCAAATTTCACAGAGTGAAAGTCCTCAATTCAAACCGAAGGCATGCGTCTATCCTATCTTGCCTGTGTCGCCACGCTTGCAGCGGAGGCCGTTATTGCAGGTATGAACACACTGAGCCCAATCATGTGTTGCTTTTTCAAAAGGCTAACCAAGACGCAGCACCAATGAAGGCCGAAGCACTCCCTCTAACGTTACTTCCCAAAGAGTTCGCCGACTACGCAAACCGAAATCAGCCATCAGCGCAACAACTCGCTGCGAACGGTCGGGTATGCGGGCTTGGTGCCCAACAAGGCGTGTGCGACAACGGACGATGCGGTACCTTCGTCGCTCCGACCGGGTTTACAATAATTCGTGGTGCGGAATCACAATGTGGAGCGGCTACCAAAAAGGCGTAATAATCGAGGGGAGAGTGGCGGCGGCACAATATTTTGAAGTCGCGTAATATCATCATTTCGGTTGTATCTATTCCGAACGGACATATCATAGGCATTAGATGAACCCAGGCATCAATCCAACAGTTTTCAATATCCAGACAGGTTTAGTAGTGGTCCTCCAAGGTCATTGTCACTGTCTTCGAGACCAGATACTCCTCGATTGCGACATCCTTTCCGGACTCCTTGCCGTACCCTGACAACTTCATTCCGCCGAACGGAGACTCGGCTGCCGACGAGTTGCCGGTATTCATCCCGATCATCCCCGCGTCGAGGTTCTCCATGAGACGCCAGGTCCGGTCCATGTTCTTGGTGAAGAAGTAACTGGCGAGACCCATGCTGGTGTCGTTTGCCCACTTCACCACCTCGTCCTCGGTATCGAAGCTGTAAACTCCAAGGACCGGCGCAAATGTCTCTTCCCGGCTGATCAGCATCGACTGCCTCATGTCGCGCAGAATGGTAGGCTCGTGAAAGTAGCCGGCCTCGAGGCCCACTTCGGTGCCCGCTTTGCCGCCCAGCACCACCTTGGCGCCGGCCTGAACAGCATCCTTGACGTGAGCCTGGGCCTTGGGAATTGCCCGGGGTGTCGTCAGAGGTCCCATTGTCGTGCCGTCCTTTGCTCCGTGGCCCATCTTGATGGTCTTGGTGCGCTCAACCAGCTTGTCCAAGAACTCCTCGTATATCTTGGCTTGTACGTAGACTCTGTTCGCCGTGATGCATGCCTGCCCTGCGTGTCTCCACTTCAGCGCAAGCAATGCTTCCAGGGCCTGTTCCTGGTTGCAGTCGTCAAAGATGATAAATGGGCAGTTCCCTCCAAGCTCCAGGGTGACTTTCTTGAGGCCCTCGGAGCAATGCTTGGCAATAAGACTCCCAATGGCGGTAGAGCCGGTGAACGACACTTTCTTGGTCAGAGGGTGTTTGCATAGGGCTTCAGCCACCTCGGGTGTGTTCTCGAGCGATGTTGTGATGACGTTGAAAACACCAGGACCGAATCCGGCTTGCGTCGCCAGGTTCGCGAGGATGAGGCAGGTGAGTGGCGTCTCTGGAGATGGCTTCGCAATCATTGTACAACCGGCAGCGAAGGCAGCTCCGGCTTTGCGTAGGATCATGCTGACACCTCCCGTAAGCGCAAGGCCTGAATCATCACAATGGATCTACTCACGCAATGGGGAAGTTCCATGGAACCAAAGCAACCGTCACACCAATTGGCTGTTTCACAACCAAGACCCTCCTGTTAGGCGCAGATGGAGTTGAAATGTTCCCGCGGATGCGTTCAGCCTCCCCAGCGAACCACCAGGTGAATCCCAGCGCATAGTCAAGCTCTCCCTGCGCCTCCGCCAGAGGCTTTCCAGACTCGTGAGTCAGTACCGTGGCGATGTCATCGCGGTTTTCCCGAATCAATCGGTCCCACTCTAAGAGCTTTTTCGCTCTTGATCGCGGGTTCTCGTAGCGATATTTCTGAAAGGCCTCGTGCGATGACTTCACCACTGCGTCGATGTCGGACTTGTTGAAATCGGGACTGGAGGCGAAGACCTTGCCTGTTCCCGGATCCTCGATATCGAATGTTTTCCCTGATGATGCCTTCGTCCAGGTGCCGTTGACATATGCATCTGTCTTCAGCAGATCTGAGTTTGATAGCTTGAACACTCATGTCAGCGCAACCTTAGCATCCGGTAATCCTCGGTCTTACTTTGAAAGGTAAATTCTGAGCCATGTTGACGGTCGTCAATATCGAGTTATCTTAAGTTGAATGCACCAAAAGCAAATACACGTCCTGCAATGCGGTCGTCTAATTTGACTTAAAAAGGCCATGCAGCCGATTGTTATATAGCCGATATGAACTTCACCCCCTCAACCCCGCATTCGAAGAACCGTCGCACAACGCCTCCGATGACGACACATCCAATGAGCTATACAAAACTTAACCAATGGCGGCGTCTATCAATCATTGATTGACGCTCCTTGGGGTAGGTCTTGATTAGGCCAATGGCAATTCACCAAACTCGTCTTCGTTCGGAAAACCTTGTCCGCCACAACCGATCGGTCGGTCCCGATCGACTCTTGCTCCCCACACGAATTATCCAGCACCGAGGAAATAACGTTGACAATAATTGAATAAATGACCTTCGAGCTCCTTCCGCGAGAAGCACTCGCCAACACAACAGGATTTCCTAACGCTATGCCATATTCTAAACTACAGCGCTCTATCCATGGAAGTTGCCCTATCTTGCGTGCATTCAAAACTTCATATCAACTTCCTCCTCGCGTCTTCTGATCTCCAGCTCCAGCATCGGGTTCAGGACCGGGTTGATGCCAAAGTCAACGATCGAAGTATTGGCACCGGCAGGCAGTCTCCACTCATACTGCAGCAAGATGTGGACCAGCGCGATTTTGATCTCGTTGGCGGCGAAGAATCGCCCGGGGCAAGCATGCTTTCCGTGACCGAAGCCGAGGTGCTCCGGGGCTGTGGAGACAAGCTGTGATACGTTCTCCTTGCCAGGCTGCTCACGCATACGGAGGAAGCGGTAGCCATCCCACTTCTCGGGGTTCTCGTAGACGTTTGCATCGAAGAGTGCGTGCGAGGAGACAGAGACGGAGGTGCCTTTGGGGATAAATGTGCCATCGGAGAGAGTCACATCGCCGACAGCGACGCGCTGCATGCTAGCTGTATTGGTCATGGCTGATTAGCTGATGGTGTCTCTATGTGTGAGGTTGTAGGGCGTGTTAGCGTACCAAGCTGCAAAGGCTTCATGCGCTGGCTTTCCTTGACAACACTGTCAAGGAGCTTCATGCTGTACAGAGAAGTCTTCTTCCACCCACCCGCGCTCAACACATCAATGATCTCATTCCTCAGGGGCTCGATGATTTCGGGGTTGCGGGCAATGTCGACAAGGACCTGGCCCAAGAGGTCAGTGGTAGTGTGGATAGCCACAGTCGAGAAAAACAGCTGAGAAATAGCCGGGTCGTAGTGGTTGCCCTTCGAAGCGGCCTCGAACCAATCGATTGCATCATTAAACTCTGGCGGCGTGCGGCCATCCGCGATAGCGGCGGCCTTAAGTGCGCGACGCTTCTCAATGATAGGCTTGATAATTTCTGTGGCCTCGACGATTTGAGAGCGAGCCTTTTGGCAGCCGGGCATGAACCAGTGGACAATGGGGCGCATGAATCGGGGCCATTCGCGGAGACGGTCAGCTGCAGAGAAGCCGTTCATGGTATACTCTTTCGTGATAGTAAGCCATTCTTCGTTTCTGCACAGCTCTGTTCCCAAGAAGACGCGAGACGAGATTCGGGCGATGAAGTGAAGGATCGTGGGGCGCATGGGGATCGCATGCCATTCTGCTTAGTGTCAGTCATGTTGCTATTTTTGTCTATATCAGAAACAGCATACCCTTGCTGTCGGTGAAGATATCTTTTAGAGCCAGCGAGGTTTCGTCGGCGAGGGGCTCAGTGACCTTTGCTATTCGAGACTTGTCAGTGTCAATCATACTGATCGTCGGTTGGAAAGGCTTACCAAGTGCCTTGGTCAGGTCCTTATTGATAACTATCAACGTGATGCTGTCACGAGTTCCCTCGCGGAAGGCGTCAAAGCCCGGGGTCGTGGTCTGAAAGAACTGTTGAGGTCAGCACGCAGACCGGCACGAGAAGCATTCAGTGAGGCTCACCTCCGCAGCGAATTGGGTGAAGCTCAGGTGAGCATGATTTCGAATTTCGTTGGCCATAGACGGAGGCAACACGATGGTCTCGCCCATGTCGCTAACTAATCGGACCGGCTTGTTGGGGTTGGTCTTGAACCATGAGTACATCATCTCCCTGGCGCCGGCCAGGTAGCGCTGCTTGGGCCGGCTGTCAGTGAGCTCAAACTTTCCCTTGGGGTTGATTGAGGGCGTGTTCATCTTGGAACCCTGCATAGAGTACGCAAAGATGATGACCAGGATGGTGGTCAAAAAGTATGACAAGGGCTTCGCGGATCCATCGAGAGTGAGCTTCGCGTCTCCCAAGGGAGAGCGAATAGTGTCGGTTGCATCCATCAGTGGAGGGTCGTCGTTTGGTAGGGCTGTTAGAGGATGAGGAACTCTGAATGACAACTTATCCATTTATGTGTCTGGGGATGTTGACGGGAATGGACTTATGTATGTTTCCATAGAAAATGTTGTCACCGCCTAAGGCTCTCGGGTTCTGCTTTCGATACTACCCTTGCTCAGGAGCATGGATTCTACGGACTGCTTCTCTTGCCGTCCACCTTCGGTCGGATGCTTAGCATCACCCCGTAAACGTGCGTGGACCCTTGGCCCGAGAGCGAAGGCAGGGTCACGACGTGGTTGGGGCTGCGGGGATGAGGGGGCTGTAGGTCACACAAGCCCATAGGTCTACAGATTCTAGATACATGTGCGAGAATTTACCGCGGACCCATACAGCCTCCATTTGGAAAGAGACCGCCATTGTACATACGAAAAGTCATGTCAAGCCTTGCCGGCTCTCGTGACAAGATCATTCTCAGATGTCTTAGTCCTGGGTCAACTGGCACAGCTTCCGTCAAGACTCTGTTACCGGTAGCGCGGAGAGGGATCCGATCGACAGTGACAGTTGTAGTTCGGATCGTGTTGCGGTGAACACTCCAGCCAGCGTACACACCCTCAGGAGATGCACTGACAACGCCTTTGACCAGGAGATGGGTGTGCTCGTCTTTCGGCAACTCTTACCGCCAGCCCCATGACTGCACGTAATCCGAGGGCAACCATTTGTCCGCAGACTCACACAAAATACGAAAAAGCTCATGCATGACGTCTGCAACCCTTTCTACGCGATTCACAATGCTCAAGGCCGACACGCGTTAGCTCCCCTAGCGCCCATCGGGCCTCCACACGGGATCTCCCCTCCGCCAAGCCGCAGCGAGCCTCAACCTCACAGGCTCGAGGATGGATGCTTGCTTGATTCTGAGCCAATCCTTCCGGTGAATGTGGTGCCTTTTAGCGGGGCGACCGGGCCGCCGATCGCTGTTGTCTCAGAGGTTCATTCACGATGCCGAGCCTGTTCATGTTGTGCGGAGGAACTCCGTCCAAAACCTAGGACCGCAACACCCGCTTAATAAGCGGTTGGTCCGGGTGTGATTGGCGTGCCGGATAAGTTTCCGAATATTCCCTGGTCGTTTCTTCTTTTGAGATGGGCTTTGATGGAGATTTTCGCTCACCATGTCAAGGCTAAGCTCTCTGCCCACCGTCGATCACCATCGGGAGCCCACCTGTCGTCGGACAAAACCCATCTGCAACAGGTTCTTCTTACCAAGATTAGATACTCAATCGAGCTATTTTCGCCTTCGATTATTGAAAGCACGCACTAGAGTTTCGAACGGAGTTGTCCTGAAGTGCTCCGCCTAAACCGAGGCTCGCCGTTGTTCCCACTCTCGAATGTTGCCACTTCGATCATGAACGACCATACTATGAAGTAGTCATGACAGTCTTCTAGCGTTCTACTATCCAGATTGAGTTTTCTCTGCCCTGCGGGGAGCGCTTCCAGATTGCGGCACGGTTAAGGTTTCCTTGATCGACGTATCTGCCGGAGGGACAGCCAGGCCAAGGGGTCGAGGACTTCGGAGAAATCCCACCTCCCGCAACCATGTTTGCCTAGCAATTTCATCCCGATCGCACGAACTCTTGAATACGGATACGTGCACGAGTCGTCTCAAGCCTGGAGGACGCAGATGACAGGAAACACAGTCGGCGCACGGGATAGTTCACCAGCCCGTGAGACAAGACGATCTAGCGGCCAGCAAGGTGTCCATGCCTCCGAAAGGTTACTTTGCGTGAATCAATACCAAGAACCAAGGTATCATGGACCGATGAAACTCCGTCCGTCATCTGCTTGGCCGAATGGTATCAGAGACGGCTATGGCTATCTACAGAGAGAAGAGGATCCAGTTACGAGATGGGCCATTCGTTTGATGTTTTTGATGGTCTTCACTTTTTGACTAGATGCCCGAGTATGATGTGCTCTCATTGGTCAACTCAGCCCTGGATCATTCTACACTTTTGTTATGATTCGAGTTCCCCAAACCAGGCCAAATGTGTAAGGCGGCTATCCTCGGGTTCTCCTTTGCCATACTACGGGCCAAGGAATTTTGAATTCGTTCGCTATACGATACCAAAACATGCGGATAACTGAATAGCTCAGCCACATGTTCCAGTTCAGAAACTGCGCTTTCAAGCTCCCTGGACGAATGCGGCACGGCTGGAGGCGCGGGAACGCTAGAACAGACAATGTCTCAGGCTCTGGGGGCGGCAGCCGGTAGCCACATGGGCCAGTTGTTAGTTCACCAGGTCTCACTTCTGCCCTTGCGTGGTAGTGGGTGCTGACGACAGAAGCCGCGGCAATTGCATCTTCTCGAAACGGGCGTCCATTAATCCAGCATTCTTGTACCTTATTAGTTTGAAGAATGCATGTCGAGAAGCTTGTCGTAAAGGGATCAGGGTCTTTGCCTCTCTCATTCCAGCAAAGTTGCCCATCATTTCTCAGACTTGCTCGTCGCCTGCCTCGATGAAAATGCCGTTTCAGCCACAAAGTCGTCATGGCATCAAGATTTATGCCTTGCTTCTTGTCGTCAGCGTGTGAAATGTGTCGGATCTGCGGGGAGTCCCGTCGCGGATATGATTCCAGCACTGAACACCCTAGGCTCTAACCGAGGCGTGCCCGTGGTCGATGTCTTGAACCCTTCAATTAACCCCCATTCCACAGAATGACATGATAATCCGGTTCGGAGCCACGGGTTTCTCAACGCATCTTCATTCGTCGCGATTGCGCGACCTTGTGGTGTTAGAACGTTCCGGAACAGGGACTAGAGGCGGGAGCTGGAGACGGGCCGCGTGTGTGGTTTCTCCCCGCGTGCAAACGGGGAACATGTGCTTGGAAAAAAGCTCACTGCGTGAATGCAAGCTAATGGCTGCGGTCTAGACTACAGGTTCTGCCTTGAACCGGATCTGGTGGAATAGAAGGCGCTCTGTGCTACCCATTTGGTTGCGATTTGCCGTCCAGAATATCGTATGAGGCGATCCTTCATTTCAACCACGGAAAGATGGCGAACTCATGATCACGGACCCATTCTTGAGACCGAAACATTCAGAATGTGGCTGGCTGAAATACCAGTCGAACACACCTCCCTCGCTGGATTGCAATGTTTGGGCGTCCTGTCATTCGCATTCTCTGACTGAAGCGCCATTGAGGTGAGTTTTGACGAAATCAGCAACACTGGTTTCTGTGGTTTGTCAGCCCGAGAGACCATCGATAACTTCTTCTCGCTCGTACTTATTGTGAAGACAGGCCCTCTCTGATAATCTTCTTCCATATCCTATAAGAAGCAGACTTGTATCCGCATCAAAAGCTCTACCATGACTCTCATCGACTCAATCACAAGCTTACCGTTCCGCAAACCTGCTCAAATCCCCGAAGAACCTTCACTTTCGTTGACATCAACCTCATCTGACACCATGGCCTCTCTCATTCCCGTCAAGGAGTCGGACATCTCCATCGTCTACAACTCCAACACCCGCGAGCTCGTTCTCGCTGCCAAGGGCGAGATTCCCAAGGTTTTCTTGACCCCTTTCTTCAAGCAGGAGTCCGTCCTCAACACTGGTCTTACCTTCTCCATCCGAGCCTTTGCTGGTGGATTTCCCCCCCAGAAGGGCGAGAAGTCGTTCGATATCAAGCACTCGGTGCACATCAACCTGCCACTGCCGCACTTCAACAACAAGACCGTCTTGATCGAGACCGCCAGCGGCAACTCCAGCGTCGAGATCAAGTACACCGGGTTCGGGCCTGGCCCCGTCATCCGTGGGGACAACGGCAGCGAGGAGGGTACCACCTACCAAGACGTCTTGCCTCCTATCAAGCGGTTCCTCCCTGCCGACCAGCCCCTGCGCATCACTGCGAACATTCCCAAGGTCGAGCCCCCCAGTCGTGTTAACATTGAGCCGTCCTACAACCCCGAATTCCTCGAGTTGATTCATTCGACGGTCCAGGAGGGAAGCATTTCTTGGACTTTCAAGTGGAAGAAACTTCCCACTGAGGAGGGCGCGAACCCCCAGCTGATCGACGTCACCACTCACCAATACAACGGCCTCGTCGGCCCTGCTGCCCGCAACTACATCACCATTCAGGGCTACGTTGTCCTCTTCGTCGTTTTCGAGAAGAAGTAAGGATAGCCACATCCGACCTCTGAGTGGCTTTTCAATGGAATTCACATGTCTACTTAGGGGTACCAATGTAGTTCGTGGCGGAGATGTCGTGGAAGGCGGTTGGCACGTGGTGTGAAGCTGGGGGGGGATCTTAGCTCTTATTCTATAAGTTGGGCTCCAACTTGGATTTTGTTATCTATATCAATATATTTGTTTTTTGACAGCCTTTCACTACTGAGTAATGTCGTCGACCAGGTACCATGCACTTTAAGACATTCTATACCGAGGCACCTGTTCTGCAGGTTATGATTATTAAAGGTTCGGCCCGAATCTGGCAGGATGTCTATGTAGTTTTCCCGGGGTTCTTCGGGCCTCATGGGAGATATACATACGTTATCGACTCCGAAGCAGCCGGCCCTCATCACAGACCTTATTTCACTACAGATTCTGAAATCTCTACGATGCGGGGGTACATTTATCCATGTTCGAGTTATATGTAGCACAATCGGTATGCATGATGATTCAAGAACGTGGACATCATCCCGTTCACTCATTTGCAATTCGACAACCTAGTAACTGCTCCCTGAAGACGCACGCCGGGCAAAACCGCCGTGATTCCCACCCTCAAAGCTTACCCGAAGTCCCCCTGTTCAGAATAAGCTTCAGTGGCCTGTTTGTTAAAAAAAAGGACGTTCCCAAGTGATTGGCTGGGTGTCATAGTGCGCCTTTATCCGATCCATCTCGGCACTCTTGCGGATTATTAGTCGAGACTGGTTGATACTTACTTAATTTTCTACTAAAACGGACTATATTAAGAACGGCCACCTGCGTCTAGTCTGAGACTGTAAACCTTAGGTTCAGACCCGCATACTCTGGGTCTGCGTTGAACGCAAACCCTCTCGAGCCTCCCCAGACCGTGACCTCTGTGATCCTCTTGTTACCAAGGGCGGCCTTGTGTTGTATAAGGAACAACGCTGCACCAGCACCATGGGTGCTACCAAGGATGGCAAGGCCCTCATCCGTGTCCATCGAGAGTGTCACCCTGTTGTTCCATCCCGGTACAAACTGATGTCCCTTATTGTACAAAGCCTGCAAGACGATGTTGAAACTAGGGCGATAGGTAACATTGACGCGGTAGATGAGCCTGACGTTGCTCGGGTGAACGCCCTTCGTCTGGCAAGCCTCGAGCCACTGGAAGTAAATAATATCAGACAGCTGCTCCAGGTCAGGGACATCCCCAACGCCGTTCTTCTCTATTTGGAAGCGAGGGCTGAAGTTTCTGTCAAAGAGAATGGCGCCCGATCTTGGGTTGAGGACGTTCTGGTAAGAAGCACCCGTTGCCTGGAGGGGGGACGAAAGGCATTAGAGGACTAGCGTTCTAGATGGCCAAGTTTGGTGGGAGGTTACTTACACTTCCAACACTACCGTCGCGCTTGTAGAAATTATTCGCGTGCATGTAGGTGGATAGCCCATTCTCTGCTGGGTCGACTGGATAACGTGGGTCCGCGAATGTGACATCCAAGAGGTTTCCGAACCCTGGAGATGTGTCGAACTCGTCGTAATCGTCGGAGTCAGAGTCGAAGTCGGAGTCCGCGCCGGTGTCCTCGGTGTTGAAGGGGGCCCAGGTCATCTGGCGAGTCCATCCCCAGCGTGCAACAGCATTGGGATCCTGCCACGGCGTGGCGACGGTGACTCCGCTGTTCTGCTGCTTTGCCGCCGAGTCGCCGAGCGGAAAAAGTGACTTGAGGTAGGTCCCTTTCTCAACACGACCATTGTAGTCGCTAGGGAAGTCTCGGAACTGTCCTTGTACTCGCTTGCTAAGAGGCTCACGCTGCAAGGAGTTGATGTAATTGGCGCTTTCACCGTCCACTGTTGGGGTGGGAGAAGCACTGATGACGGCCGCTTGGATGAAGAGGAGTGATATCAGAAAGCGGAGGCCCTTGGGGCTGGGGGAACGAACGATGCTACCCATCGTGATCTGTTATCGTTGGTCGCGTGGCAAAGAAAGAAGCAGGAGGAGAGGATAGGCGCCCAAATTTGAATACAGCGGGTCGGTACCTCTTGTAGGCGATGGAGATCCCATTGCATTCAGATTCGCCGGTCAAGGCGATCAGGAGAAAACTCCAAAAGGGATGCGAAATTAAGAATTGCGATTAACCTTTTGAGACTTTTTGCTTCAGCGATGAACAAACTGGTGTTCGTCCCCGGGGGCGCCGCGGGATCCACCCTACGACGGAATTGCCTAGTGGCCAGTGTGTAACTCACTCGATTCGGCATCTATAAATAGGCCGTTCATCCAAAGAGCGATAAAAGCTAGTCACACAACTTTGCGCGCATACATAGATAATACGCTCGGGTTTTCTTTTTTTTTTCTTTTTTTTTTNTTTTTTTTTTTGCCAAGCTATGGTCAACAGATGAATGCAGACACAAGTAAAATTGCAATAAGCAAACACATGAGTGAACTTATTTCTTCGTTATGCACCATAGACATATTAGCTGATCCACCATCCCAGCGATGCCAACTGATCAAACTTAAAAAGATTACCAAATTCTAGGATCAAGCTGGCAGGATTACTCGCAGCCCACTGGCGTACCTGGTTCAACAGATCTATCGCGATCACTTTGGGTATATATTCGCTCGCCCAGAGGTAATGTTCCAACATTATCTCCCTTACGGAAGACTTTTTATCTGCATTCACGTCACCTTCTACAGACACCATGATTTTGAGAGCTCAGTACCTTCTTACAGTATGTCTATTGTTCTCAGAGGCTGCCGTGTCAGCCATCCTACCTCGCGACGGCGATGATTACGCCGGACATCCGGAGGTGAACCATGACCAAGTAGCAGCATTTCAACAAGACTCTTCCCCCGGAATAGACGGACGCCTCGAACTCATGTTTAACCCTCTGCTCGTCGTCACAGGAGGTTGCGACCCGTATCCTGCAGTCGATGCCAACGGAGGTCTTGGGTAAGGAAATTTCATGCACTGTTTCATAGTAGATATGGCTAATGGAACCTCGCAGAGGTGGTCTGAGACCGACTGGTGGTGGAAGGTCAGGCTGCGGTAATGGCGGCACTGGCCAGGTCTATGCTCGCCGCGGCAGTAGTCACGGCCGTGACGCTATTATTTACAGCTACTACTTCCCAAAGGTTCGATGGGGGAACGGCGATAACAAGGGACATCGTCATTACTGGGCCAGCATCGTCGTTTGGATCAACCAATGGAGCTGTGATACCGAGAAGCCCTCATCATACCGACCAGTGGGGATGTCATACACAACCGACCACGCAACATGGGGCTACGAGCCTATTATCGGTGGCCTGACATCTAAAGCCTCTCCCGAGAGTTCTTCACCCACGAGTTTCATTGTCCAAATCCACGACAACGCCATGACACCGTTCAAAGACGCCGATGTTACCGCGGCTTCTCAGCGTACACTGATCTCTTGGATATCACTACCCGTAAAGGCGCGCGAGGCTTTGACAGACGTCAAGTACGAAAAGACCACAGTGCCGTTCACCGACGCCAACATCCAGGCCTCTTTAGACACTGCCTACCAAGAGAGCTTTTACATAGGCTTAAAAGACGGACAGGACTGCAACACCACTATCTCAGAGAGTGATGGAGCTGACTTAAATCCCGACGAAAATCCCGAAGATAAAGACCCAGAGGCAATCCCTCTTCCTCCTGTAACTATTTAGTTCTACGCATCAAAATAAAAGCGTCACGCATCTTTTCCGTTTTATAGCTTTCTTATCTCAACTTCGGATGCGACTAGACGAGATGCGCACCTAACCTATGGATATATATCACCACGATTATTGCACACTGGTCCAAACATTATTTAGTCTCAAATATGTAGAGGAAAGGGCTGAGATAGTGAGAGCTATCTTGCATGCCTTGATTTTCATCTGGCTTAGGTTCTAATGCGGATATAATTAATAGCATTTTGAAGACTGGAGAAACCAGTCCTCACTATCGTCGTGATTTCACTGCATTTCTAGAAAGCTCCACGTTGATAAGCTATGAATATCAAATTAGCATCATATCTCGGCGGGGGGGATTATTTAAGGAAGTGAACGTCAGTTCAGCCAGCCGTATGTTGTATTTCAGCGGTCTCTTTGCTGATTTCCTACACAGCGACTTTCTTCTAGGAGACCTCCTAGAACGTTTACTTCTCCACCGTGCTTGGTCTTGCTGTCAGCGCCGTCGTCACTCTTATCGTTATGGTTATCGATGATGTCCTGTACAGTTACGACGATTTATGATTATCCATCATCGAAGTGAAGATTGAATCCACACTCATGAAGTACAGAGACAATCTAGCTGTCCCGACGCAGGAAAATCAGGCTGTCGCCTAATTAGTATGATTCGTCAAGCACCCTGAGCTTATCCGCTTTTTCCCGGTTCACACGTCGTTTTGAGGATTCTTCAGTCCAATTGTATTCGTTTGCGAGTACATAACCAAGGAATACTTTTCGCCAATGCATGTCGTGTTACCACACCTTCGCCGAGCTGCATGCCGCATTCAATTTTGGCGGCTTACCTGCAGAGGAAAGAAAGCAACGGAAGACAACAGTGGTTCCACATCCTCCTTGTGATTAATGAGGGCATTAAATTTGGGGTTCAACCCACATCCCTTGAAATACGTTCTCAATCACCTGTTCTATTTTGTCTTTGCCTTTGTCAGCCTTTCAGCCTTTTTCATCCGGGAGATCTCTCCACCGGCTGCCTCGTGGCCATGGCATTTTCTAGCCATCAGCCGATACTCTCGCTCCCGAGCACTGAGGTTCCGAGCTGGCTATTCCTCTTCGTCTTCGTGGCGTTAGCTTCAGTTCGTGCTAGAGCAGCCTCCCCGGACTCCGATTCCGACGACACCTTGTCCGACTTCACCAACGACCTATTCACGGATCTAGGGCCTCTTTTGGCCCTGTTCGGTGAGCAGATGACGAAGCAATACATTAGCGAAAGTGCAACCTATTACGATTATTTCATCTTCGGCATGGGCCCCATTGGTGTTATCAGGACTATAGTGTCTACCATCCGCCTCTGTGGACCTGCATCTCTACGTGCTTTCATCGGAAGATCGCAAGAGGGTAACAGTGCGATTGAAGCTGAGCTTTGTACTTCGACAAGTCGTGACGTGTGCGAGGTTTTCAACAATGGCGGTATTACTCGTGTCCTTGGTCGACCTAAACTTCTCGAGCTTATCCGTACGCCAAAGTACTACCTCCCCTACATGGAAGCGTATTCCCATCGCGAAATTAATCGGAAATCTGGCTTGTATCTATTCCGAGATTTCGTAGAAGACGCCCAACGTGCATGGAACCCGGATTCAAAGCTAGAATGGAGTCTCCCCCTATCTCAACAGCTCAGTCCGGCTTCACAAAATCCGCCCAACCTATCGCTCAACATTGGTATCACTCAATACAATACATGGGTCTTTTGCCTTGTTGCCTTAGTTGGGCTAATCCTCCAAGCCGGCGTGCTTGTGGTTGCCGGCGTGGGCGTTTGGGTCTTGGGTTGGAACCTGAGCGAGGGTACTACAGCATCGAAGAATTACGCGCCCACCATTTTCATTATTGGTACAGTGTTCATGTGCGGGGGGATGTGTGCTTGCATTGCCATTATTGGCCAGGCTACCACAGAAATCCGGTGCAAACGCACACCCTCTGTCGCTGGCCCCCCGGCGACGTCTCTCATCTGGCTACAGCCACGACAGGTCATAGCTGACCAGAGCTTTGACGCATATGCTTTTATTGAAGACGAAAAAACGCGACTCTTAGCTTGGACGTCTTCCATGAAAACTTGGGACTTGGATCCTAGAAGCGAAATCAAGTTTATGTCAGCGACATGCATCGCAGTCTCAGCAGTCCTCGGTGGGTACATATTACAGTTCATTGGGTTGAGAGGCATGAGAGCCTGGGTTTCAATTGCCCAATTAATTACAACCATAGTCATGAGCATCCTCAGAGGGATGCTTCGAATGCAGCGAGTTACAAAGCAAGACAATCAGTTGCTGAGCAAGGCGGAGTTAGTCCAAGGACACAAACTTGACTGGCTGGCTGTTGAAATATCTCAGCGTGACAACCTAAATGGACAATCCACGCTAGAACAAGGCGAAACAAAGTTAACAGTGAGTCTTTCGGTATATTGCTTCTCAAATGTTGACATGTCGCTAAGATCGACGCAGCAAGCGAAGACATTCTCTCCTTGGACGATGGTACCTACGAACAGAAGTCAACCAAGTTATCAAAACTTGATGAATCTCAGTATCTGCCTTGCTGGAATGACGGATCATGTGCCACAACGTGTGACACACACGCAATCAAAGCTTTCAAAGGTTCCATGGGACGCCGAGGTTTCCAAGGTCCATAACAAGGCAAAGAAGTTAACAGCTGCACTCGAGCAGGTTGCAAATATCTTTTGCAAGAGAAACCGGGAAAGGTGGATCACCTTAAATTTGTTAGGTTCGCAATTCTGTCGACCACCAGGCATCACGAATGGAGTCTCCCAGAATGAGAAAGGTTTCAATATTCGCCTTGACCCACTGGAACATCATCCCACATCCAAATGGACGATAAACCATGCAGAAGTTGAGGCAATTTTGGGCCTGGCTTTATGGACTCTTATATCCGACCATCGTTTATTGTACTGCGAAGTAAGGTCTCAGCTCGATTCCTCCAGAGCTGAAGATGTACCAAAGAAGAGGGTTATGTCAGCTGGTCTGAATCCGCGCAGGATCAATGGGGAGCTAGAGTTGGCCTGTTGGCGGGGACTACTCAAAATCCATGACCCGGACCCCTTCACCCGACATGGTATGTGTGAAAAGATGACACTTCCGCTAGATACAGACCTCGACAGCTATAGTCTCGGAAGTTTATGGCAAGTATGTAAACCGGGTGCAGTAACCAAAGCGCCCATCAAAGGCCTCAAAGAGAGACGTTGGCTGGATATGCCAGGAGGCAGTGTGATTCCTGCACAGCGACTGTGCGGCTGGAGCTGTGTACTGGGAGCGCACCAAAACATCCAGTGGACGAAGCAATCCTTGTCTGAAAAGGCACTCGGACGCCCAAACGAGCTCCCCAAGACGATCTGTGTTGAACTCAGTACAACAGATTTATCTCTTCTGGACATCTGCACCCAAGAACTCTTCGGGGCTTTCTTAGCTCCGCTGCAGATGCAGGGAGACGACGAAGGCAACTGCGCATCAGTCCAGAAAAGTTATGACGTCAAACGTCTAGAAAAAAGGGCCGAGACTATCAAAGCTATTTCGCAAATCTTTGTGGAGTCTGGCTTAGGCTCTGACGTAGATGCAGTTAATTGCATTCTTCCAGCTCTTGATTATCGCCAAATGGGTGACAGAGACCGAGTTATTTCGATCGTTTCATCAACTTGCGACTCATTCCTAGAGAGATTTGAGCAGGCAGAGGCTTTGATAGTAGTCAACTATGCCATTGACGTCCTTCATCCTCGGGAAACTAGAGAGGAAGAGCGCTCCTTTGCGCGGGCTCTTTGTATGCTGTCTAGAATCCAAAGGTTCGAGATGTGCAATAACAACGGCCCGAAAATGCACGGGTATCATGTTAAGCTTTGTCGTGAAATTTGGGAAGAGGCAACTGAAAGACCTGTTGCAGGCCATCTTCGACTGTCGACAATTGAGGAGCTTCAAAGAATCCACGTACCCCTTTGGGGGTTTCGAGGAGCACATGGTGGCGAAAAGAAAGCAGTCTACAATAATCTGTTGGAAGCACTCGAGAAGAAAGACAGATTTGATACGATGCGTTCCCTATGTTTTCTCTCACGGGATGGTTTAGAGTCATTATCAGCCGAAGAAAGCCATTCTGCCAGCGCAGCACTCCCACTAGCCGCGAAACAAGGATGGTTCGAGGCTGTAGACGCTATGTTGAGCATAGGGTTTCATCCACTAGCTCAGGACGGCGCTGGAAGAACTGCGCTGGGTTACTGCGCTGAGTATGGTCAGTTTGAGCACGAGGTCTGCGCAGAACTAATTCTGAGCCATGGGAAAGCATTGGAAGCGTTGAAGTGTGTGTCATGGTTTACGGATGACGGGTGTACTCCGCTCCTGTTGGCAATCGACCAGGGCCACGAAGAGATGGTACGGATACTTTTGAAGAATGGATGTGCTGTGAACGAACAAGGAGGCCGGGAGTTTTCCCCATTAAGCGACCTCTCACCTCTGGGCGATGCGATTACAAAGGGGCTTGAGGACATTGTGAGGCAGCTCATTGACGCAGGAGCCGAGCTTCGACCAGATCACATCGACGCTGCAAGATACATCAACTCACCTGGTATAAAGCAGCTGATATTTGGTTACTTGAGACTCTTGGTTTACGAGTCCCCAGATTCTTGGATGGGGCACCTGCCCAACGTCATCGAGCACGGCGATTTTAAGGCCGTAAAACTACTGCTAGATCGCGGGGCCAAGTAGTCGTTTGAAGAGATAGTTTTTGCGGTTAGAAAGGGACTGCCAGAAGTCAGAAACTTATTTTTGAAACTGGTTCACAACTATGTAGCCGAGTTCCCGAACCACACGAAAGAATGGCTGTTGAAGTTGGCGGAAGAAGACGACCGTGACACCCTGCGCGCACTACTTGATAACGGCGCCTCAGCCGTCTGGGACGGTGCCTAAGCTTGGACACTGGTTTCCGGGCTTGAGTGTCGGCGGTTTTCTGCTAAACCTGCTGGAAAAGTGCATTTCACTCAAGCCGAGGATTGAGAATGGTGTAGAAGTCAGGATACTCACATGCCGCATGGGACTTGTCAGAGTCGACCCATTCTTTAGTTCAAATACACCTCTTTCGACCTTTTGATATGTCTATGAAATTGTTGCATTCTCGCTGGCCGACTACTCGTGGCACTCCACTCTTTGGCCCAGATCCACGTGTCGTTAACAATGTTCCCAGACAAGCTGCTAGACGACCAAGCTGCCGCAATGTTAATTTACTGCCTAAATCTAGGCTGGTCTTAATGTGATAAAAAGTAAGCTTTGTTCTGCCTACAGAAATTTTCAATAGGTTGGAGAGGGCTGCTTTCTACATGCACTACCTATTTTCGTTGTCCCTGCCTACTAGAACTCGCATCCATGCAATGTATTGCGATTCAGGCGAATGTTTCTGGCCTTCCGAACGGATAGTATAATGACGGCGACGACGGCGCAACGATGAGCGCAGTATCAACGACAACAGGTAAAATAGCATACGTTTTGTTTTGGGTTCTCAAGTTGAAAATGAGAGAGATAGTCTAGAGCTACTAGGTGTTCTTCCACCCGGTTAACTGAAGGTATCTGCCCGGATAGCAAGGCTCTTCGTGAAGCTCCGATAAACGGCCTTTATGGGCTGACAACAGAATGAGGACCTGGGCCTCTGCGTCTAGTCTCTCCAAAACGCCGTTGCTCATTCATTCCCCCCGCCACCCAAAACACCACCACTAAGGCATCCCACCCCCAAAACCGCACATCGCCAAAACCTCAGGCACACCAACGTTCTTCACCGCTAGAATGCGTCACCTATCTCGCGGTCAATGACTGATACCACTCCTCCCGGCGTCCGGCCCCCGAGCAGTGTGGGTGGGTGGATCCGGTGACACACCGGCGGCGGGCCAATCCCGAAGGCCTCTCTGCGCGCCACGGGACCGTCCTTCACCCTCGGTGCGTGTGGAGAAATCTGCGTGTGTCTCCCCTCTTGTCTTGGTTCTCCAAATTTTCCTTGGCCGAGGTGAGACGTTCGAGTTGGGTTGTTTCTCTGTACCGAACAGCGATGCGACGTGGAAAACCCACCCCGTCAACAGCTTGGACAGAAACCTACACTTCCAATCCAATCACCCTTCGTCCACCGAACCACACCGAGCCCTCCCCCAACCATCCCAACCCGTCACGACTCACACCGGCACCACTAACCAGCGCCATCACTAGTGTTGCGTCCTCAGGCCCGTCCCGCAACACAAACAAGGATCCTCCCTTCCCCTCCTCCTACCCCAACCCAGGTTGCCTATTCCATCTGCGCAAGCGCAGGCATCAACCTCGCCAAAAAGCCACGGATGATTTGCAACGGCGCGGGATGAGTCGATCGCGTTAGGTAGCGAAATCGACATGGACATCACAAGCACGTCAAATGCTAGGTCCCGACGTCGCGCGGGAAGAAGAACAGCACCAGGCAACAATCCCCATCCCTCCAAATCATCACCCCACCATGCTCACAAAGTACCCCGCGCCTATCGATAAGCAAAACCCCTCCCCAAGCAATTCCCCCCTCCCCTCCAAACAAGTCCAAAAAATGAAGAAACCCGCGATACCCTCCCAAATCCTAAATAACCTGACTGCCGAGGCCCATCACCTCGCGAATCTTCAAAGTCCCCTTCGCTTAGACCCTCAAGACTGGAATGTGGTGTCCTGACTCACTCGGCCACCACCACATCCTCAAATCTTCAGACGAACGAACAGTAAAACGCCACGGGTACGGGGGTTGTGTCTCGAGGCCCGGAGACCAGGGGGAGGCAGGTGAGACATGCATAGCCAAGCGATCACAAGGACCAGTTTTTCACATCAACAATACAGAAGATTTTCGTAAAATGTCACCGAATCGCGAGAATGGGGCTGTCTTTTTGGTTTGAATCATCTTGTTTTTTCACTGGTTTGTTTGTGTGATTCTATGTATGCTGTCCAATTGCTGTGGTATCATCCCATCGCTGTCCCGGCGATCATTCCTCTCCGACAAGTCCTGTTACCCTGCCCGAGGTGTAAACCAAAGAAAAAGACAAAAAAGGCAGAACGCTTGCTATCTAGAATACATGTGCATAAAATATCAAACGCGCAAAGATCTCTAAACAGAAAAAGCATTTGCGTGGTAAGTATGACTGGACCGTTTACTCCCAACGGTAGAGGCCATCATCGTAGAGGACCCGGTGGCGCCGGCTGCCGGGACCCACAGTGGCCCTCCGGCGGGGCATCATGCGCTCCATCAAGCGGCGGCGCTGGGCCTCGTCCTCCTCCTCACGCTCGCGCTGCTCACGAGCACGACGCTCAGCAGCGAGGCGCTCGTTGATCTCCAACCGGCGGACAGCGTCAACGAGCTCCTGGTCCGAAGACAGGGGAACGTTGGCGTAGCCGGTCGAGGAGCGCTTGAAAGGGGCGGGAGGAACGGGGACGGCCGGGCGGCGGGAGATCTTCTCGTTCTGGGCATCGATGCGCTCGAGAATGCGCTGCCTCCGCTCCGCCTCCTCGGCAGCACGCTCACGCTCCTCGCGATCCTCACGTTCCTTGCGCTCCTTATCCTTACGTCGGCGTCGGCGCTCCTCGTCGTCGGCGCTGGAGTGGCTGTGCTTAGAGTCCTGGGAGCGATGGCGGCGGTGGCCGCCATCGATAACCTCAATCTCAACCTTGGGAGGACGAGGGCGCTCGTCTACGATGACAGGGCGAAGAGTATGGGAGTTGCGAGGGACGTGGCTGTAGCGGAAGTGAGGCTCGTCGCCAGCGTTGGGGGAGGGCGGCGCAGTGTAAGGCGAGGAAAACTGCTTGGGTGGCGTGCGCGGGGTAGGCGGAGAGTCGACAATGACAATGCGCTCGGCACGAGAGCGGTTCTTGCGGTTCAAGTCGAGGACCCTCTGGCCGTTGACGTAGATACCCGATGCCCGGCGCTTCCTGTCGCTGGAGGAGGAGCTGGTGCGGGGCCGGGGAGACTCAGCAGATGGGCCGCGAGGCGAGGACATTGGCGGCGAGGGAGGCAGTTGCTGAGGGTATTGAGCAGGGTAGCCAGCCATTTGTGTGGGGTAGCCGACGGAGCGAGGCGGGTGGTTGTAAACGACTGGATTGCCGCAGAGGCGGCCGTTGCGAGAGTGGGAGCAGAGGTTTGGTGTCTGGTACTCGCTGCGACGGCCGTCTGGGTAGACGTCGGTGTAGACGTCCGTGGTGCACATGGTGGTGTCTGGTGGGAACGTATGAGTGCGCGACGTGCGCTGGGGTGGTGCCGGTTGGACGATCTCTGGAGCAAAGCGAACTCGCTTCTCGGTGGTCGTCAACGTGGAAGATTGTTGGGGTGCGCTCCGAGGATTGGCGGAGCGACGAGACTTGTGCTTCAACACGATGGTGTTGTCAAGGTAGAGAGCTTCGGGAGCACGAGTGGAGGACAATGTGTCGGTGCCAACAGGCTGTATTGAAGACCGAGTGTTGTTGGTTGGAGGTTGTCTGAATAGTAAAAGTGTAAGTTGGTTGGTGCTTCAAGATGTTATGCAGGTGATTGTTGGAGAATTAAATACCAAATGACTGAAGTCGAAGACGAGAAAGCAGAGGCTGAAAAGTATCTGCCTAAGATTAGACGGGTGCGGGTGGATCGACAGGGCCGGGATAGATTGGGGTAGCGTTCTTCGTCTATGTGGGAAAGAATCCAAAGTGTAAAAACGTTTGGGTGGATAGTTCGAGCAAAGTAGAACGGCGTGGTCTGGGGAGAAACCGCGTCTGAATTATATCGTCTGCTCGCGTTCCAAGGTGAGTACGAGCAGGGGGGGGCCGAAAGTCGAAAGTCGACGAAGTACGCCGCAGCAGCAGCCACGATGGCAGCGGACGGAGGTACCGCAGGAAGAAACAGCAGCTAGAGACGCAAGTCGTGGGATGGTGGAGATTGAGGCCTTGTAGGCCTTACAAGGTGCAATGCGCCTGCGATGCATGCCACCATGATCCAACCCCTGCCTGCGTCTGCCTGAATGAGTGGCCGATGAGTCTTCACTAGACCCTTTTCGTACGACTGGGGTCTCTGTTCGGGAGGGGGAGTCGTTGGAGGGTGTTTCTCTCTGTCTCTCGCACGTTTTGCGACGCCGCGCAGTACTTCTCTCTGACGATTCACAGCCTTCGCAGCTGGGAGGCCTAGGGGCTCAGCACCGACCAACTGACTTTGGTGGAGGGCGCAGGGGGTGCCCGTAAGCTGCCAATGCGAAGAAGGATGGAGGGAACCAAGGACTCCGGAATGGTTGACAGCTCTCGTGGGACCCCGCTCCGTGTGTCTTTTGCTTCCCCGTTGTATTGGCCTTGCATATGAGGACTTGTGGGTGGTGTGGTCGTGTTCGTCGAGATGTGCGTCGCGTTGGGAATCTTGGTGGTGTGTGTCTCTCTGGCTGCTGTGGTAATGGCTCACCGCACAATGGCGACAGGACCCGACTGGCTGGACGCCGGCGCGGTCTCTCGTCAGGCCTGGCTGGCCAGGACCGACCACCACGGGCGCCCGGCGACGTCTCGGTAACCTCCTTGGGATACCAAGGTGAAGAGGTCTTCATTTGTTAATGGTGGTGTGGTCCGTCGCAGCCTTCTCTGATAGATGACGAACCCAGGTCAAACTGAAAGGCTGAAGGCTGAAAAAAGGCGAAACGATATTCTCCGGCGATATGATGCTATTTTCTGCACAGCCCTCAATGCCCATCATCGCACCCATGGCCGTTGTCCCCCGGCCGTCAATCTATTCGACCCGGGGGAGAGGCACGGCCCACGGGTCCAATCGTGGAGCACAGCGACAATGACCGCGAGGGCGGCCGTGCTAGCGACAGCGGCAATCGAAACACGCACATGGTGACATTTGTGGTCTGTGTTCGCGGTTGACATAGAGTGTTTATCGATATTGTTGACTTTGGCGATGATTCAGTCGGACAAGCGACAGACGCCGTCTTGCACGAGTCGCGACGGTTCCATTCTCGCAGGAATTGATCCGAATATGGCGCCCAATCAAACCGACCGAATCTGCGAATTGAGTCTTTGGCGATGGTCATGAGCGAATAGCACCGCGCAAACCCTGAGTCATCCCGCCGTGTCCCGTCCTCGAAGCTCATGCAAGCTCTTTGTCCATCGGTGGTCGACTCCGCAGGTAAAGCAAACAACCACAGCCTCCCGCCCCGAAGGCCCGTGACGTCCATGTCTACATCGTGGACCTGCATCGGCTGCAGCAGGCCGTGATGGAGGTTGGTAGGTAATCGATCGTACCATGACGGCAGCAACGCATCGTCAGAGGGCTTGTTTGACGAGGGGCTGCAGGCTCGGGTACGCTCGCCGTGCCGTGGCCGTTGGCCTCTTCGCTGATGGCCCTGTCGAAGGATCGCAGTGTCTGCAAGGGGAAGCCACAAGCCACCCAGTCGTCTGGACAAGCACTCCGAGCAATCGTCCAATGCTGTTCGTCCGAGCAGGGCAGCAAGCGTAGCGAGTGCGCGAAGGATTGCGATGAAAATTGTTAGTGTGCGGGTGGCCGGGCTGTGCACATCTCTATCGCTTCTCGAGCTTCGCTAAGCCACCGTAGCCTGCTTTCCGTCGGACCAACCGATGCACCAAGGCCTTGTTTCCCGCAGACGGGAAGCAGGAGAAGCTTAGAATTTTCATCATTGCGATTGCTTGCGTCGTCCGTGACCAGCGGCAGAGCGGGGTGCATGTCCATGGGTGAGGTGTTTTGGTGCAGTCTGGTCGCATGGCAGCAGCATCATGAATATGTTGCCGGCTCGTTTCTTTCCTTCTTTGGTGTTGCTCCTTCTGAAGGTGACACAAAACACCACTGGAAAATTGGAAGGCGCTGTCGCTGTCACTGGAAGGCGCCCCACACCGCTCTTTGCCCACCTGCTCGACGCACCCAAGGTACGTACCTCATGCCACCTTCAACTGGCAGTAGCAACAGCAACCACCACCACCAGGCAGCCGTCGCTCTTTCTCTCAGACAGAAAATCCAGACCTCGATGACTAAGTCAGCTGAAGGTCACCCGATCAGGTTCACCTCGTTTCCCCTGGGCTTCTGCCTGCAGCAACGCACCAACGACACAACATCGGGAGTCCTAGATGGGAATGGGACTCCGGAGTCCTGTCGACGCCAGCTCGACGACCCCTGCATCACTCACTTGTTTCAACTGCCTCCTCGACATCTACGCCGCAGACAGAAAATGATCCATTTTCAGGTCTTGCTACCCGCTGGCTTACATTCCATTGGCTCGTGGCCGCCGCTTCTCGCTTGTCAACAGCAACCACCTCGGTCCAGACGCGTCAACTTCTGCAAACACGCCCTGATCCTTCGTCGAGTCGCCTCTTTTCTTTTGCGGCAGCCCTCGTTCTAGCGCCCGCTCGCCACCCGTCATCCCATTCATACACACAGACGCAGGCATGCGGTCCGTTGCGCGTTCGACGCGGCAATCCTTTCCACATGGTCAAGCTGGATGGAATGGCCAACCTGCGTTTGCCGTGACGCCGCCACATTGGCGTCCCGAAATACCTGCTCGAACTTCTCGACACGGCAACCCCTCCGTGCCCTCTCATGCACGCAAGGCTGCAGGATCACCTCCCATGTCGTCCATTACGAACTAGCCCTTGGCAGTACGTACACACACCTACACAGCGAACGAAGTCCTGTGCCTCCCGTTCAGCCCCCATTTGGGGGCCGTCTCTACATGATCCGGAGGCCGCTCGCGAAAGATTTGTCGTCCATGGCGACGTGTGCGTCAGAATCTCACTCGGCCTTCATTTCCACCACTTCGATATCCTGTTTCTCTAGCCGCGCAGAAGACTCTGGACTTAACCAGAAACGAGGTGGCGTTTGCTCAGCCTTACGAGGCAGAATCGCTCGTCCGGAGGGAGGGTCTTGTGTCGCCGCGCTGGAGCTAAGAATCCACCCCCAGGGCTGCCTCCGAGTCCGGACCCCCTGCGGATACCTCGGGGTCGCTGCTCCGTGCTTGGTCGACTAGCGCACGCCTACGTATCCGGACAAGGAACCCTTCGCTGTCTCGGAGCATGGAAACCCATCCATTCATATCCGCTGCACGTCATGCTGGCGATTTGACTTTTGGATGCTGTTACTGGAAGGCAGTTCGGCTCAATCAGCGTTTCTCGGCAAAGTCGTTCTCGCCGACTTCAACTGTCTCATTACTGTCTACACTTTTGCTATCATGTTCCGTGGTACCAAACTTCTGCCGTGTCACGCGCGGTCCTGTCAACGCCCAACGTCTGCCTTGCATCTTCTGGAAACTATGCTGCAAGTCGCCCTAGTTTCTACGAGATCACGTTCAAATCTCACCAGCAGGAAACGACTTTGTCCACTTCAACTTCCCAGCCGTTTTTGCCACCATCCTTCGCCTTGTTGATGACTCCACCGTCTCGGTGTAAGCTGTCTACAGCTGGGCCTCTTTCGTAATCGACTGCCTAGGCACAAGGTTCCACGTGCCGTCGGCTCTCTTGATGCGAGGATTGGTCTTGCTGGGCTTCATCTCAGCCCGTTCCTCCACGTCCCGCTTGTCTGCGGCTTTCGTCTCCGACTGACGAGGTACGAGGTTGAAAGTCCCGTCGGCGCGCCTCTTCCGAGGGTTTGTCTTGGTGGCCTCTACGTTTCTCTTGTCTGCGGCCTTGGTCTCCGACTGACGAGGCACCAAATTGAATGTACCATCGGCTCGCTTGACGCGGGGGTTTGTTTTGGTCGCCTCAATATCTCGCTTGTCTGCAGCCTTGGTCTCTGACTGGCGGGGCACCAAGTTGAAGGTACCGTCAGCTCTCTTGAGCCTCGGGTTGGTCTTCGTCGCCTCCAGGCTACGCTTGTCCGCTGCCTTCGTCTCCGATTGTCGGGGGACCAGGTTGAATGTGCCGTCTGCCCTCTTGGCTCGAGGGTTTGTCTTGGTTGCCTCGAGGTCCCGCTTCTGGACTAACCCGTCCTCCACGTCGTCTGTCACGGCATCGGATCGCTTGGGCTGCAGATGCCAGGTACCTTCAGCTCGAACGAAGCGAGGGTTTGCCTTGGTCGCCTCCAGGTTTCTAGGCTGCAGGTTCCAAGCACTTTCGGTGCGTTTGACACGGGGCTCGGGTTGGGCACCAGCCAAACCATCCTTCGATGCAGGTGAGCAGGAGAATATGTTGTGCGACGACATGAACTTACAGCAACGACAGCGCCAGCGCTGGCCAAGACGACGAGAGTTGAAATAAGCTTCATTGTGACTTCGCGGAAGTGCGTGCTTTGAGTTTCTTTGGTGAATGGAGTTTATCAAAGGGCTTCCTGGGATCGGGACGGGTGGGAGCCGGCGCAGGAGTCAAATACTTCTACTCATGTCTTCCAGCCTCAGGTTGGTCGACTGGAGAAGTGCCGATCATTTCGACCTCTAGACCGCTGCTTTTCTATCCTCGGAAGCACGTTGCATTGTTTCCTGGAACCGAAACCTGTTCTGGCCCCAGACAACGCGTGGCGTGCGAGGTCTTGGCTTGCCTCGGGGCCATCTCTTTGATGCTGGATATCTCCGGGAATTCCGGGAAGAGCCCGGCATGTTTGGACGTTTACAGCAGATGGCGGCGGGAGTTTCCCAAACAGATGGAACGAACGATCCATATTCCATGGCTATGGCTCAGACTTGGGTGCGTGATTCAAGTGGACTATCGTTGCTCCAGCGCTCATCTGGAAAATCGGCACTTGTGCGTCGTGTATAACAACCACCATTGACCTGACTCGATTGATCAGAGACATCAACTCCGAGGTCTTCGCGTATGTAAAGGGTCATTTCGGGTGGAGAAACCCGCGATGTCTCAATCATTGTTGAACCGTTATTTTCGTTTTCTAAGAGCACGGTGGCACAGCTTAACGAACATACGAGATGCACGGCATCAACGTAAAAAAGCCCGGAGCAGTCCGATGTTTTGCCATCGTCTGGAGTCTGACTCGTGACAGGCTGCGCTGCTGAAGAGCACGCCGACAATTCAGCGCGACGTGCATTTGGATCGGCGGATGGTTTCAAGGGAGCCGTTTCAGTAGTGGTCTTTCTGAAAGTTTATTTGAGTAGTTGGTGTGGGGATCAGATGATCCAAGTCTGCTCGACTTGGGACCCTGACTGAGTTGTGGTCGGAATTGCGAGAAGCTTGGAACTGGGCGGGATTGTTCCCGATGGACTGTCCCCAAGACGCGCGCAGCTGCAAACGCGCGCGGGAAACCATCTTTCTGGAAAGTTGAAAAGGTCATCTAGCATTCCTTGTCCCCCGTTTCGCACACGCAAAGTCTCGCGCCATGTCATCAAAGGCCCCGGCTCAGAGCCGGTGGGCAAGTTCGTCCTTATTGGCGCTGATCCTCCCGGTCGCTATTCTCTACCTTTTCACGCCGTCCCTGAACGTGTGGTGGAAGACATTCATTTCGGCCCAAAACGATCCGCACGCCGGCGAACTCGCTCGCGCCGCCATTTCCGAAGCCTCATGGCTGAGATCCGTCCGGCAGCGACACGACTGGATGGAAAAGAATCAAGACTACGACGACACGCTGTCAGCCCTTCACTCAACCCATTGTTTGTCACTGAACACCTGCTAACATTCAAGCTAGATTCTCACCCAGAGATGAGTCCCTCCGCTTCTGGTACACGCTCTGGGACCTCTTCCCCGCGACGTACAGCTGCCCCTGGGACCTGCAGCGCGTCGGCAAGCTCGGCGACGGCGGCAAGTGGATTTGCGGGATGAGCAAGTACGCCGCCGACCGCACCCCGGCGCAGCGGCCGTTGAGAGTGTATAGCTTCGGCGTCGGGAGCGACTCCACGTTCGAGGAGGAGTTCCTCAATCGCTCGTTGCATGCGGAGGTGTGGGGGTTCGACGACACGGTGGAGATGTGGGGTCGCGGACTCGCGGGCCACGCGTACGAGCAACGCGCGCACCTCTTCAAGGCGGCGGTTGCAGGGTATGATTTCTACGACGAGAAGGACAAGACACAGTTCTGGTCTATCAGCAGCATCATGAAGAAGTTGGGGCACGACTATGTGGACTTAGTCAAGATGGACATTGAAGGCGACGAGTTCCCGACGTTGGAGGCCTTTCTGGAGGACTTCAGGGCGGAGGGACGGGAGGTTCCATTCGGGCAGCTTGTGATTGAGATCCACGTGCCGGAGAAGGGGCCGAAAATCAGCCAGTTCGCGGAGTGGTGGGAACGGCTGGAGGGGCTCGGGTTGAGGCCTGTGATGAGCGAGGCGAATTTGCTGGCTGTTACTGTGGGGGATGGGCAGCCATGCTGCGTTGAGGTGAGTTTTCTTTGAGTGATGATGATGGTTGGTGAGTGAGGGCTGACTTAAAGGCAGTATACTTGGATTAATACGAGGGATAGTCGGGGTATTTTGTGGGAGTGATGCCGTGGGCCACTCCAGGACGATTCTGATCTTCAATGGGACTGTGTTGAGGAAGACACCATTGTATTTTGTGTGCTCATAGAAGTAGAGCCCAACTCTAGAGCTTTGATAACCATTATGCTAAAGATGCTCAGTTGCCTCCCTGGCTGGTCATTGCACATTTTCACTACTCACCTGTCATCTGGCCTGCTGCCGCCTCATGTCAGGAGACGAACTTCAGTCTCTTCTGGCTCACTCGCAAATCTTTCATGATGAGCCCCGGCCCGTGACGCACCATTGGCGTGGCTTAACACTGACATAGTCACTGGTGATTGCCTTAACTACCATACGTGAAACCTCACGACAGTTATGTGATACTGCGAAACACTGTCTCTGCCTTGTTTTCTGCCTTCTACCTGCCAGCGGATCCTCTCTGTGCTAGCTAGGCTTAGATTCATAAGCAAGGCTGGCTTGGGGCAGGCCTGCCTTCCAGGATTGAGGTCTTTGAATGAGAAATAGACGGCACGCCAGTCGGCAGAGAGAAGTCTAATCACAAGGCAGAGGGCAGAGGAATGAAGACTTACACAAGAGCCTATGTCAAAGTGGTGTGGACAGCGGAGTTCACACCCAGCCACACTCCAGTCACGAAGGGGTGCGCTGCCTAGCGAGAAGGGTCCGCCGCGGAGCGTGGCTCGTCATGAGCCTAAAACGTTCCGCATTTGACGTGGGAGTATTTGAGCAGAGCGAACTGGCCCACGCATCGAGAGAACTGGTATGCATTTCCTTCCGTGTAAGGATGACGAGGGCATTGAGGTCCTCGAATCCCAGATTCGCACCTTGTTGCCAGTCTCCAGCCAGCGGCCAGCTGACAGGACTTCTGGGTGTCTGAGCCAGACCTTGACATGGGCTCCTGTAAGCTTTCCCCCACTTTCCGTGGCCTTCGAGTGCTGTGATCGGGAAGAAGATGAAGAGGATTGGGGCTTTTGGCTAGTACCTTACTATATCGAGCCTGTCTCGGCCATTGAAATAAGAACACTGTTATGTGATTCTGGGGACGCTTTATCAGAGTACGTCGACCAGGCTCTAAAAGATGACATTCTTCTGTAAGGGCGTCCTGAGACAGGTGAATAAGTTGGCAACTGCGTGTTATTAGCTGGAAACGAGGTGCAGGTCAGGGCCAAAGATATCTTCCATAATCTTTAAGTGCCGTCCGCGAAGGTTCAATAACAGCCACTATATAGCCATACCATGTGGCGTGTTCATGTTGGCTCCCGCCGTAAATCTGAACATCCTTACGCTCTTGATCTGAGAATACTACCTTACTGCAGGGGAATGATGAAATACCAAGCCATTACGAATCGGTTTGTGTCTGGGCGGGCTGATTAGCCCCCACGACATTCGGCCAAACCTTGTCGGACTTGGGGTCCGCGAATGCGCACCTCGGGTGCGACGGTGCTCCCCCGAGCCGAGGAACTACTATTCAATCCGCAGACCAGTGCAAGGAGCAACCCGACAAAAAATAGCGAGACCGAGCAACCTAAATATACGTAGTACAGAGGGTAATATGTTGCGAGATTCACACTCGGCGAGCACACTCCTGATCTGATCGTTGGTACGCTCAGTTTCTCACCTTATCAGGGCGCTTTGCGCAGATTGACGTAGAGATTGAGGGTTGTATTATAGATGGGAGTGATCTTTAAATACGGACTTTTTAAAGTATCGGAACGTGAGACATTTCGTGACCTCTAAAAGTGCTGGCGGGACAGAAATGACCACTTGTTGCCCCTCTGTGACGCAACTAGTGCCGGTGCACAGAACACTAGGCTTGGTGTTAAGGCTGCTGTATCTGGCACAAACTGGGTTGCGGGAGGGGCCTTGGGGAGTGGTTCATTCCTTCACAAAGGTAGGCCTGACAGGTTTCTTGTCTGGAAGTAAAAAATGAACGCAGAAGGGCTAGCCGATCGATTTGTCTCAGTGGACTACTGAGGTGGACGGGGTGGACGTCGACCTGGTCAGAAAGGACCGGCGCTTTTTGTTCACGCTAAGGTAATCGCAATCTGCCCTTGAGCAGAGGCATTGGAGATTGAGGGGTTCGTTGTATTTTAGTCCATTGGCAGCTGATGGGAATACCTGGTACTAGAAGACACGAAGTTTTCCATCTAGAACAAATGCCGTCTAGTGCGCAAGGCGCTGACACTGACAACTTTTCCTCGGGTACCCGCATGATGGCCTCACCTTCCATGGTTCAATAAACCTTCTTCTAGAGGCCCCGAGCAGGGGGTATGGACTGTCTCACGGCCGATCCACCAGTATAATATGCAGCAAGTCGGCGATTGTGGGGTTCGCCCGGTCCCGGTGCGCACGGCACATAATTTCTCGAGATAGGAAGATTTCCGCCGAGCTTACACAGCCACCGTCCCGCCAGCTCTTTCGTCAACATTCTTCACACACTCGTTGATCGCGCCAAACAACAGAACGTCATTAACGAAGCAATGATTCTTGCCTGAAATTTTGTCAGTCAGCGCATGCGACCCCCAACTCCCTTCCCCCACGAGCCGTCTCGCTTCAAGTCTCAGAAGCCGTCTTATTCCCATTGAAGCATACATGACCTGTGGGGACTACTTCCCCATTTAGGCAAGTATATCCACTCCTACAGCCAACACGGCTAACAACCTTTCGACCAACAACTTCTCTCAAACTCAAGCTGAGGCTTGGCCAGGGCGGCGAGTACGACACGCTCGGCATATATGGTGGGGGCCACTCAGGGCCCGCGAATCACAACACTCGATCGGGGACGCCTGGTTGCCCATGTTGGGAGTTTGATTTGACGTCGGGAGGGTTCGCATGGCATGGCACGCACGGCGCG